CACAAAACAACTACTAAATTCCACTTGTTATTTCACAGGAGGTAAAAATGCAAACTGCCTAGATTCTTTGTAAGGGTCGTCAGACATCGGATTGGCCGCCATATTTGAAATGAAAATATCACTAAATAGAGGTCTGCGCATGCCTCAACATTTCGACTGAATGCAAGGAGGATTGGCTCCCAGAGTGCAACATCGATATTCTGTCCCATATATGGGCATGTCGTGCTACAAAATTTGAATTCCAACAGCCGCCATTTTGTTCACTTCAATATTTGTATCGTGAATTTTGGTCTTATTTCCTAACGAAAAATTCCAAAACTCACAGGAAATGATCGAGATATTGGTTCGAATCTTTTGAACTGTTTATTTTGAATTTATAATCGGTTATAATTTCAGAAAATAACGACATCTCGGCGTTTTCATTGTTGGAAAATATCGACTTCGATTCTGGGAGCCAATCCTCCTTGGACTGAATGAGAAAAATATTGGTGTATACACGGGGTATAAGCAAGTTATATATCATTACGAACTGAACATATACTCCTCGAAAAAAGTTAAGGACCAGTCTTTTCCTCATAGGTTTACATGTTAAACCCCATGCATGTTAGAACTCAATTTTCTTAAGAAAAACTGATAATGTAAATTGATATGAACCTTGACTCTATTCTTTATATTTCAGAAAATTTTCAATTTAATCTTTTCGTTACAATAGGTCAAAAATTGATGTAAAATTTGATGAATTTAGCATGCTTAAAGTAAAAAATTCAATTGTCTACACTCGGAAATCATTTTTTAATAAATGTTTAACTGAACAGATATCCAAAAATCTGATTTACCCCTAACCCACCATTCCCATTGGTTAACAGGGGTTCTACCATTTTTTTTAATTTATCGGGCATCACTTTCTGACCTAATGTAAAAGAGAGATTTACAGAAATATAGAGAATAGCGTCAACGTACATATCCATTTAAATTATCAGTTTTTCTTTCGTTTCGGGCTCAGAAAATAGATAGAAACCCCAAGCTCAAACATACATGGGGTTTAACGTGTAAACCTATGAGGAAAAAGACGGATCCTTTACTTTTTTGAGGAATATGTTCATAGGTTGTTACAGTCGGGTTGTACAATGTCACTTCAATATTTTAAAGAACGTTGCTTCAGTCTACTGATGTTCAAATTTATTCGAAAGAATATTAATGGCCTTAAGAACTGACAATAGATGGCGAATAATTCAACAGGTTTAATTCAACTAGATGCAAGAAGAAATAATTTCGATTTACGTCATCATTTCTTTTTTCAATTGTTTAAGTAATCCAGTTCATTCTGACACTAATCTTATTTTATTTAAGATTTAGACTTTAAAAATACACTTCATTATAGAATATTGATTCTTAAGATACACCGTTTCGTCATTGTGAATTCGTAACTTTTCAGAAAAACTATTACTAAGAATTGAATTAAATGGCCAATTAGTATTGTTATAATATTCTGAAGAAATGATTTTGCTCCTAGACACCCCACTCTTGTTATTATAGATACGAACGGGACTTACACGCTACATCATGAACGCAGTAAATGGAACTCGATCTCATTTTATTTGTTTGCGATAACATTTGTGGCCTTTTGTCTTGCTAATGTTGCAAGATTATCTTTTATTTAATGTAAAGGTGGTATTAGTTTTTGTCACTAGTTTGTCCGTATGAGCCAAGACTCGGCACCATTAAATAATGATCATAAAAGAGTGTATAGTTTCTACATTTCTCATTTATTAAATTGTTATGTAATCCATTTCATTCTGACAGTAATCTTATTTTATTTAACATTTAAATTTTAAAAATACACTTCATTAAAAATATTGATTCTAAACGATACATCGTTGCTTCATAGTGAGTTATTAACTTTTCAGAAAAAAACTATTATCAAGAATCGAATTGAATGGCCAATTACTATGTTTTAATATTCTGATGAAATGATTTTGCTCTTATTAAAGATTCAAACGGCGCTATATTTGTCTACATGAACACAGTAAATGGTTAAATCCATTCTGATACTCATCTTTCTGACTTCAACGAGAAATGCTAGTATTGAAGGCCATGATTTCTCATGATGGGTTAAATCTAATTTTATATATGAACTTTTGAGAATTTTTGATCGGGGTTCGCACAAACCCCTCGAACCCCCATTGGCTACGGGCATGGGAAGAAATAATCTTATAATAAAATCTTTATCAAATAGAAAAAACACGATGCACCACAAAGAAGTACTGAAAAAATATTTGAACACAATATAAATTAGACTTTGAAGATGCTTTCCTGTCCTTCAACTTTTTTGTGGACGGTGTTCTGCGTTCGGCGGTTGGCGTCTGTGACATGAAAAATGTCACCACCTGCCATTTTTTATAGATTTTTTTTTTCTTTTTAATAAATTTATTTCTGATTTCATATATATATCCATACAAAATAGTGCATATAAAACAATACAGAAATATACATGGTATAAAAGGATATAGGATTCAGAGATAAACATTTATTTGAGGATTGATGAAAGCCATTTAACAAAAGGAAGTTCACTATCAATCCTTAAAAATATATGTTTATAATATAAAATATTTCTACATATCACTAAGTTTAGATCAATATTTTTCCATTTTTCAATTTCTTCTGACAATTCACACCACTTGGTGTAAATTGCTAAACAGATTATTGTAATAAGAATGTTTCTGAAGTGGGTTATGTTGTTTCCTAAAGGCCAACCAATGATTAAATGTTTATATTTGATATGACATTTTAGAATCTGACTAAATTTTTCCCATATTGGGGTGACCTTTTTACATTCAAAAAGCCATTTTTTATAGATGCCGAACGCCGAACACCAACCGCCGAACACCGTCCACAAAAAAGCTTTGAGACTATTACAATATGTCATCACTTATGGTGGTGACATAAAAACCATCAAACCATCAAATGGCTTGATTCTCTTGAATATACGATATACAGCTCGGTTTATGTCTAGGTTTTTGGCTGGCGGTTGACTTTTCTCAGGTGGTTTAAGATTGATTTTATAACACCACCGATGGGACATTGTCGTCAAGATGACAGTGGTCTTTTGTAATTACAGTAATTACAGGATTTGCGATTGCAGGACCACCTCGTTGTACTTAAGTTTTGTAGTTTGTGCATGGGTCAGTTTGTATTAAGTTCAGGGTTGATTTACTTTTCGGTGGCCATCTTGATTTCTAACCTTAACTGACGTTATTTTGGAACAGTTAAAGTATGTCGAAAACATTTTTTGTACTTCTTGTCCTTGAAAGTTGGAAGCACTTATCTTATTAACTCCTGTGCATCAGTAATGATTCCTTGATTCCTTATCAATATCTAAGATTCTTGTAAATCTGAAAATCGTTTCAAATGACTTTATGATGTTTGAACCACATAGATGTGATTAACTTTTGATGTTGTTTAGTATTTTTGACGATTTTGATGTAACGTACATCGTCTGTTTTACGGGCGTGATATTGGAAAAAGTGCAATCTCGTTCAAGCTCTCTCCTTCATGATATGAATAAAGTGACACGTTTTTTAAAATCACGGTGAGTAACCATACCGCACCGGGGTATCGTTGTAACGCTCCGGGCCGAATTAAAATGGCGGACAAGGAAAATTCGATAATAGATGTGAGTACAAACTTTTGATTAGATACGTGAAGATTGGCCTATAATGTGAGAACAAGATGAATCTTTGTTCGTTTTATCAAATACACAGAGCATTCCTAGGTTTTGCGAGCCGATACCTTAGCAACTTAAACAGTATGATAGTGTATAAAACTATGCCAGTTCAGGAGCCAAATGGTGGTCAATTTTATGAGATATCAATAAATACGTTTATAACACACCGGCCATATTAGACCAATATTCAGAAACGCATCGGTGGAGAATATAATATAAGAATAATATAATCAGATGTTCGGTATCGTACCTCTTTCCCAGGAGGATGTATCCGTAGGTGAAAATATTTCTAGACCAAAGTCTCTAATAATTGACACCCATGACTTGGAGAGTAAATACTCTGGACATACATCTTACAATTGTCAATATTTTCGAGACAGATGAATATTATTATTATTTATTTCCTTATATTGTATGATATTACAATTACACGAAGTGGGGATATTATCCACAAAGTAGGAAATAACAAAATAAATTGATCAAATCGCCTGTACCCACCCCCTCTCCGAGGCCTGTTCGATCATATGGTAAGGATGTAAAAATATCTAAAACACGTCCACCTCTCAATTAATTTAAGCAGTTACCATAAAATAACTATTTTCCCGACACTTTTTATACTCAATCAGGCAAGTAAAGCCCAGTGATCGGCAAAATAGTCCATATAGGGGACCACATTTTACAAGTCCCACGTACACGTTTTCCAAGACAATTGCTAGCTTAATCTCCCTAATACCGATTGATGTCTGCTAGTCAGGCCAGTGTAAGTTTAACCCTATGCACTACAAATACACCTTTTTAAAAAATTTTAAATTCAATAAAATTGTGAAATTGGCGATAATAAAATCTTAGCTTTAATATTTTAATCACTTTGGTTCATGGACAGCATTTTATCATCGCCCCTCATACTTGAGAAACTCTATTAATAGGTATGTAAAATATGGCATGAATAATTTTCGCATTCAGTTGTTGTCAATCAGTGACATACATGTACATAAAGGACCGTGTTTTTACAGAATGTTTTCAGTAATTGGTTTAAAAGAAAAACAATGTTGAATTCGCCTTATCGATACCAATCTTTTATTTGAAATTTTTCAGAAATATCCCTTATATAAACTACCTCGTGTTTACAATATTATTTTTTCCTACGGAGGAAACTTATCTCTGTCCGCCATCTTAAAAGGGTCGATCCCCGTTGCGGTATGGTTGCTCACCGTGAAAATGAGTTAAGTTATTAGGCGTAACATAACTTTTATGACACTCAACCCTCAAGAAATATAGACAGTAAACGGTAAATTCAGGAGCATCAAGAGCGTGGATTCTTAATTCAAACGCTTGAAAACAATTGTGAATCCAGAGCATGTCTTCAAATTACCGCGTCATCCTGACAATAATACAGGTGAGTATTCGGTATTAGTAGACAGTAAAATGATTATTTGGAATTACGTTTTTTCTATTTTTATATAAAATTTAATGCTTAAAAGAATAGTTACATATTGCAGAGAAACACACGAACTTGTTTTCCAAATTGAAAGAAAGAATTATGCTTTTTACCATGCAGTCATGTTTGTTGAACAGACAAAAGGTGGCGTGGATGGGGTGGTGGATCATATGATTTTTTCAACATTTTAAAAGATTTTTTCATGAGAGAGTTTACAAATAAATCACTAAGAAATAAGCCTTCCAATGTAGTAGGCCTTGTATGAACTTTTTTAAAATCCATGCTTTTCACGTATAAGATCTATTGAAAAAGACTCGTCGTAATAAGGGTGCAAAAGTCAACCCTTCGCTTTAAATCAAGCAGTTAATGTCGTGTGAAGCACCCTTATGGTGAACTGGAAGTGAACGGAAAATCTGAAAATCAAGACTGAAATTTTCAAACTCTCTCTGAAGAGTCATTTCTTTTGTTTTATAGGTTTTTATGCTATATCATCATTTTAAATACTGTAAAGTACAATAAAAATGAAGTTTGAAATAGAATATTGTCAAATGAAGATTTTGAGACAGGTTTTCTCAAGGATTAGTACGAGAAAAACCGCTCACCCAAAATTTCTGAAAATTGCACAAAATATTCTTCAAATAAATATTAAAACTGAACAAGCAACACATTTCGGAAAATTGCCTCTAACAAAAATGGCAGCCAAGAGTCAATTAAATTCTAAACCTCGTTCGTTTTAGGGGTTTATATCAGGGACCTTTCTGAGAAATTTCAAATAAAGGATTGGTATCGATATGGCGAATTGAATTCAATATTGTTTTTCTTTTGAACCGATTATTGAAAACATTCTGTAAAACGGTCATTTATGTGATTTTTAGTGCAATTGTTTTTTTTGGAATTAAATAAAATATCTTTCCAAAAATAGAGTTATACAAATAGACAAGGTGCATTTTCATCTAGAGGAAATGTGGTAGGCGTTTAGTGTTAAAAGTGTTCTGACGAGTGTTTCTTATGTAACTTTTTATGCTGAATCCAAAAAAACATGTTGGCAAGCTGAAATATGATTATTTAACCCTTAAAATACCATGTTAGTCCCCCTACCCCCAAAATTCACCCCTATCAGGGGGAAAAAATTCGTCAACCTAAAATAACTTTGATTTTATGGTTTTTGTAAGTGAAATACATGGACATTGTATAAAATAAACATTTAAAGTATGAATGATATGGATTACACTTAAGAAATTTGAATAAAAGCAAAAAGTGTGTACCCCTGGGGGCAAATTTATGACCCATTTTTTACTTTTCGTGTCATAACTTTTTTATTAGACAATGATGGATGCTAAAAAAATCCATGTAAAAGGCTTAATACCTGGTCTACTAATCCTGCAAGAATCAAAGTAATTCCTTTGATAATTGCCTTGAAAAAAATCAGTGAATTTAAGAAAAAATGACATTTTAGCTGGGACTGATTTTATGTGTGACTATAACTGACCCCTATTGCTTTAACATTTATCCCTCTGTGTTCATATATTTGGCATTTTAGAATAAATCTAAAATATAAAACTTATTTTAGCTAAGTTTTAGGAAGATTTAAGCTTTCTAGCATGTTAAAATATTAAAAATTCATGAAATATGATGTCTAAAATTGATAAGTTATAGGTATACCCTTGGAAGATCCCTATAATTTCTTATTTATGAACATATTTGTACCAATATTAGTTTTCTAGCTTAGACAAATAATGTATGATATATCCTGGCTTGGCTTTCTGGTGGTTTGAACAATCTTAGGTGTTATCATTGAAAATTCATTCTTAAATCATAGGTCTGCAATCGATTAAAGGCAGAATCAGATCTATATGGGTTGACAAAATTACAAGCAACTTGTATAATTGACCTACCAATCTATTCCTTACAATATCAAATACAATATCTCCCAAAAGATTCACAATATGTTATAAATTGGTGAAGTTATTAATGATTCAAAGTGCAAAAATGGGTGAAAATGTTTAGATTCTCCAAAATAATAAGAATAACCATTCTTATAAAAAAATAATACAATATTGTAAAAATCTTTAGTTTACCTTAAATAAAGTATGCAGTTGTGTGATTTTTAGAAAATAGACATGACAAGGAATGACATGAACCAAAAATATTCTCAAATTGAAACAATTTTTTGTTTAGCCTGCTCGCTATCTCTGATTCTCTCTTTAAATTCAAGTATACCATTAGCCTAGCATCATTCTACTGGTACAGGGTGTCCAAAACAGGACCGAAGAAAAGTTAATTAACTTTGTCAATCCTGCATATTCTGCCTCAAAACTTCAGAATTATTCAGTTCATTCAATATGAATTTTGTTGTGAAAGTTTCATGATAATCTGCCTGTGGAGTCAAAAACTACAGCACTTTACAACATATGTCCAATGTGGCCACTTCTCCTCTACATGCACAATCAAATCTGGCGAAGGAAGTTGTTCAATTGTCCATGGTGTGACTAAAATCTATCTAGAGAAGTAAAACTAGTGTCAGACAAATTCTCAGATGTTCTTCAATTTTAAGTGGATAGCTTCATTAGAAGCTTTGCAATCCATGTTGGTATGTGTAGGAGAGTCATCAACAGCTTCGTTGGCTGGAGTGGTGGCCACATGGGGCATGTGTTGTAAAATGCTGTAGTTTTTTACTTTATAAGCAGATTATCATTAAATGTTCACAACAAAATTCACATTAAATGAAGTAAATAATTCTGAAATATAAAAGCAAAATATGCAAGATTGACCAAAATAATCAAATTGAACAAGCTATGATTTCATAGATTAGTTTGATGTATGACATATTCCGAGCTGACTCTCTGTTTATTCAAACCATTTAAGAGGCTTAATCATTGAAAATCATTACAAATAAAGGTCTAAACAGACAGTATTAAGGTACACTATTAGAATACCCTTATTATTTCCAGGCTTAGAGTTTATTGGTACCTACTACTGTTTCATAGCTCGGAGGTTTAATATATGATATATCCTGACTAAAATTGTATTCAATAGAACCCTCTATGAAAATTCAAAAAAAGATTCAAAATGACATTAACCTCAACATTAGATCTGAATAAGGATTAAAATCCTTCATAGAGCTGAACAGGGAAGACAAGGCTAACTTCATTCTGGTGTTGATTCATGGACCTGGTCCAAATCTTGCTATACTTCATCCAAGCCCAAAGAAAAGGAAATTAGGAGCTTCATCTCAATGCATTTCAATGCATGATCCCTTATTTCATGAACACCAAAATTATGGAAGGTGTGGCACAGTAAACTTAGAGGAAATGCACTAACTATTAGAATATAGTACCTGCTGCAGTTGAGCGAGGATCCTTGCATTGAACTATGTGGTGAAAGGCTCTACAAATTCAATCAACCAAGTTGATTGACCCCTATGCCAGTATGCTATTGGTTAGATGGGTGGCAGAATTGTAGGCATAACACAAAGACAATATCTGCATTGAACAGATGGGCACCGGGGTATAATCTTAGGTCACACATGGGGAGTCCAAACAAGAATGATGTTTGGACTTGCGTTTTGAGATTCCATAGAGGGGGGTGGGGTAATTTGCAAATCAAAACAAGAATCTATGGAAGAAGATAAAATATGTGACATGCTGCTGAAGTTTGGCATGTTTTCAGAAGATCCATTACTTAATCTCCAAAGTATATGTACAAAAGATGTACTAACAGAAACAATGAACAGGCTCGACAGTTTGGCCAACAACAACTGGATGTCTTTGTGTCTTAGAGGTTGATACCAACAGGATCAAATGAAAGACACAACATTTCTTGATCTACTGAGCAAGCACCAACATTTTCTAAACTATGTGCCTAATCCCAATATAAACGAGCAAAAAGTTGTTAGGGCAGACAAGAATGTTTTGCAGAATCTTATCACTGCATATGAAGCTAACAACAGACCTGTGGGCATCAATGAAATCATGAAACATGAGCTGATGTCTTTTCCAATAGCCCTCATTGACGAATGAAACATTCAAGCCAACTCAAATGTACTCTACTCCTTAACTGTTTAACAAATGGCATTGAAATGCCAACCGTAATATTTCCAATATATGATCCTTCTTACAAATAGACTAGGTGCGAGTAGAAATAATCTTGATTTACGTCATTAAATATTCAAAATTCAGTCAAAGTGATGTCATATTTGAAATCTGCATGTAAAAGTACATCTAGAAATATGGTTTCGAAAATTGTTTATCAACTTTGAAAATTTAATTTTTTTTGAAAATGTGACTTCTTGTTCGGGTTGATTCCCCATAGACCCCATGATACAAAATCACAAAAAGTGAAATATCTTTTCTTGTATTGGATAGATAACATTTTCTTTTACTGGACATATTTCAGTTTGCATAACTTTTAGATACATAAGGGTTATATGAAAATTGAATCATTAAAACTGATGTGATTTAAGTTTAAGGGAACTTTCTCCTATACCCGCCATGCTATCTGACCCGAACGAGCCACCTGGTGGTGAATCTGGTAACTACCTACTCGCATCTGCGTTATTAGCATCAATTGCATCTACATCTGAGGATTTGGCTACCGTCTTCAAGCAAGCAAAACTTCAGCAGTGAAGTGTACTGTGCCCCATCTTGCATACTTTTGGTGGTCATATCTCATGAAAAGGGGGATCATGCATTGAAATACATTGAGATGAAGCTCCCAATTTCCCTTTCTTTGGGCTATGGTGAAGAGTATCAAGATTTGAACCATGTCCATGTACGAGTATTACTACCAGAATGAAAAGTAATCCTTGTCTTCCTTGTTCAGCTCTATGAAGGATTGTAATTCTGATTTACAAGAGTCATCCGAGATCACATCAATCAGTTGCTTTCCAGATCCAATGTTGTGGTTAATGTCATTCTGAATCTTTTTTGAATTTCCCATATTTGGTCCTATTGGATTTGAATTGCCAAAAAATTGCTACTCTGCAAAAACTCTCATTAACTGAAACATCCCACTAATTCAAAATGTTGTCAAAGTGAGTATACGCCATTTGTCAAGAATTTCTGACTTAACTCCAAGAGTAACACAGAAAGGTTAATGGGGACAGGGGGGGGGGGGGTAATATGACTAAACATTGTTCAGGGAAGAAAACTCCATAAAATGAAGATTTGTATGAATCATTGGTACTTTTGCTCTCACGTCATGCAATTGTCAGGCTGCTTAGAATGAAATTAGCCTTGTCTTCCTAGTTCAGCTCTATGAAGAATTGTAATTCTGATTCAGATCCAGTGTTGAGGTTAATGTCATTCTGAATCTTTTTTGAATTTATCATAGTAAGAGGATTCTATTGAATACTTCAATTTTAGACCTAGTGTATTAAGTATATTCAATGATTAGACCTGTTAGGTGGTTCAAATCTGCAGAAAAACTAGTCAGAATATGTCATATACCAAGGGTATACGTATAACTTATCAATTTTAGACATCATATTTCATGAATTTTTAATAGTTGAACATGATAAAAAGCTTAAATCTTCCTAAAACTTTGCTAAAATAAGTTTTATATTTAAGATTTATTCTAAAATGCTAAATATATGAACACAGAGGGATAAATGTTAAAGCAATAGGGGTCAATTATAGTCACACATAAAATCAGGCCCAGCTAAAATGTCATTTTTTCTTAAATTCACTAATTTCTTTCAAGGCAATTATCAAAGGAATTACTTTGATTCTTGCAGGATTAGTAGACCAGGTATTATGCCTTTTACATGGATTTTTTTAGCATCCATCATTGTCTAATAAAAAAGTTATGACACGAAAAGTAAAAAATGGGTCATAAATTTGCCCCCTGGGGTACATACTTTTTGCTTTTATTCAAATTTCTTAAGGGTAATCCGTATCATTCATACTTCAAATGTTTATTTTATACAATGTCCATGTATTTCACTTACAAAAACCATAAAATCAAAGTTATTTTAGGATGAAGAATTTTTTCCCCCTGATAGGGGTGAATTTTGGGGGTAGGGGGACTAACATGGTATTTTAAGGGTTAAATAATCATATTTCAGCTTGCCAACATGGTTTTTTGGATTCAACATAAAAAGTTACATAAGAAACACTCGTCAGAACACTTTTAACACTAAACGCCTACCACATTTTACAGAGAGACCTTTTGCAGAAAAGCACCCGGTCTAAAAGGATAGTTTTGTTCCTTTGACAAAAAGAATTCAAAAAATTGAAACAGAAACCCCAAAAATAGATAAAATTGAAAGTAAACCTTTTATTTCATTAACAAGACACTTTTTTAAATGAACCAAACTTTCCTTTGTTGAATTACAATACTGAGAGACATAAACACGTTGTGTAATGTGTATATGTCATTTTGTTCCAATGAGGTTCGGATAGATGTATCATTTCATTCCGAACATATGACACCAAGAACAAAAGAAGTGACTGATGTGTTTTCTAAAACAATATCGAGAAAAGTACTGGTATTTTTTCAAATTAAATTTGTTACCATTCAAAAAATGATCCTTAAATTGACGATGTGTAAAAGTTTCAGAATTTTTTGATCACTGGTTTAGAAAAACATGTGTTCAATTCAATTCGCCGATATCGATTCCAATCCTACCAAATTCCTATCAAAACCTCAACTTTTTCAAATATATCATGCGTATTTAAATCCATCATTGACTGGGAGTCTCTCCCACCCGAAATTAAAGAATCACCAAATCTAAATATTTTTAAATCCAATGTAAAGAAAAAATGAATGACTACTTATATCATTAATTCTTCTGAAATCTCCTTGACAAGGAACCAAGAAATTTTTCTGAACAAGGTGCGCTGTGATCTGATCTTCCAGTCCCATTTTTACGCTCACAATTTTACTAATGTACCATCACCTACATGCAAATGTGGGTGTAGCAATGAAATATTCATTCATGTCATGTTCTCTTGTAACCTTAGATCACAATATCTTAAAGATTTAGAGGATGCACTTACTCTTCTAAATTTTAATTACCGAGCATTTAAAAACCAGCATTGTTTTTGTATGGAGACAGAAGTCTGCCAAAAGAAGTTGATATTGAAATTTTAAGGCTCACCTCAGCTTTTATTCAAAGGTGTGCAAGCGTGTAAGTATTTCTTCCACCACCACCTGTATAATTCATTGTCATACTTTCTTTTTTAAATCTTGTTATTATTCAATTGTGGCTTATAATGCTCCATTGCAAAGCCGCAACATGTGTATGTAATAATCCTATTTTACTATGAAAAAAATCACATATATATATATGAAAAAAATCCTTTGTCCATGAACACTTTCCATAGTATTCTTTTTCTCCATTTTTCTGTCATACTTTCAGAGGGCTAAAAATTTTACTTCAATATGTTTAGTGTTTCTATTTGTATCACCACAGTGAGCCTGGCCATACGAATGATAGTTGGAAACAACAAAACTGAGAAAAAGGTCAGATTGAAAGACATAGATTTTGATGGACAAAATATTCTAAAAAACATGACTATTGTGCTTTCAGTTTCGGCCATCTTGGAAAATGTTTGAAAACTTCATCTTCACCTTAATACTAGTTTCGTTGTAAAAGCAATGAAATCATTCATTATGGTGTCTTCATCGATTTGGTGAAAAAAATATGATGCACAAGGGAGTACCCTTCGAGTACTCATGGACGAATGTCAGAGAAAGATACAAATCTTACGAAAACTTTTCTGTGAAATGTAAACTGATATTAAAATGTAAAATAACTACTATTTGGGTCTTTTTTATGATAAAGTGACCAATCACAAGGCGTTTGATGTACATTTTTAGGTTATAGTCAAGGGTTATAGTCGTCAGATCACTCTGGTGCTTTATTATTTTGTTATTGTAGGTTTTATTAATTAGGGTTGCCATAGCGACAACTTCTGGCTGCCCAAACCTGGCGTCTCACAGAAAAGCTCTTGAAGGCAAATTAGGAAGTACGGTTCAAATCAAGATATTCAATGATTTTTCGGGACGAAAATCTTATAATGTTCTTTGGGCTAAACCGACGTCCGTGAGACAGGTGAGTCCGTGTGATGTTCACGTGATCAGGTGATGATCATCCCTTTTTCTGAAGAAGTCTTATTGATCGCTGCTACTTAATGCATGCATTCTAGAAAAACTAGATAGTTCGTTGTAATTTGTAACAATTATATGTACTTTTGACAGTATTTGCGTATTGCTAGGTGAGGGAAAACTAAAAAAAACTACAAGTACACGGTACCCGTTTTTAAATGGGTTTGATAGAATCGCGGCTGTCGGTGAGTATCTACGGTTGTAAGCTACGAAAATACTCAACGCGTTTCCGGCCCTTGAAAATACCAACTCGAAAGACTCTGAGAAATTAAGTTGAAAATTGAAGGTATATGCAATTTAAGAGGGAGGCATACGTCCGTTTTCCGTTTTTGTCTTATTACATTGAATTTTTATCCCTGAGTTGAATCAGTTCACTCAAAACAGGCTAGCCTAATTACTCTTTCTATGGTTTTATTGTCTATTTTTATTGGGCCGCGACATAAATACTGAAAATAAGCATATCAAAAGACCAAAGTGCAATATCATATGGAAAGGTACATTTATATTTTACACGCAAAACATTTGTATACTTCGGAAACCGTGTGACACAAAAAATGCCACCCACATAATCTTTCGTAACCCTCCTATCACACCAAACTAGTTCTTACCCGTTCTTGCCAGTCCTACGAAAATGTCGTAAAACGGGCTCAATCTGGCTGCGGTCGGGATATATGTCTAAAATAATTAGCCACGTCGTTCATAAACAGTCTTCAATACCTCCATCTCATTCGCAGTTCGTTCAGGTCGCACCACGTCGGTGTGCAACGTAGTATTGTACCCCGTCTTGGAACGCCCATGAAGTTCGTAAACAGACCGTAGAACGTTGTAGTTCATTCAGTTCGCACACAGTTTAAAACCGATTCGGCAACGTTTTGATGATCACCAGAAAATTTTGAGCATGCTCTAAGTGCTGGAGGACCTACTCGTTCTAGTAGTTTCATGAAGTTTGTAAACAAATCCCAAACGGTTCTTAGTAGGTTCTTAGTACGTCAAATCCGTTCGTGAACAGTTTAAGCCCGTTTTCGAGAACGTAGTGAGAACTAGTTTGGTGTGATAGTAGGGTAACTTTTTGTCTGAAAAAATTCTGACTTGTTTTTTTAAATATGATACTGGATTCTGTTGGTGCTGCCATCTTTATATCGGCCCAGAACCTATGCAACAACAACTACATCAGTTTGTGATTAAATGAATGGACTTCATTTCCCTGAAATTACAAGCCCAAATCACCATATTTACAAAGTTATGTTACAAAAGGTGGGTGGCATTTTTTGTGTAGAATCCATGTGTGTCTGCAATGGAATGGACGACATCTAGTAAAAATGTTGTAACGCTCATAAAATTTGATCGGGATGTCGTTTTTGTATCACTCTGTAAATTAGTTTTACGAGCAAGACCTGTGGCCTCTTATAACTAAGGGAGTCTCAACCACCTTATTCTCTCGAAATAACACGGCTGAGAAGAATCAAGATACAAGAGGCCACTCATGCAATCCAACGTATACAAACGTTTTGTACGTAAAATATGAGTCTATTTATCCATGTCCATATAGTATTGCAATGGTACACCAATGGGGCCCATCGAGTCCCACGATGTCCAATAAGACCTTGTTAACTTTGCCCCATAGAGTCCCACCATGCCCCATCGAATCTCACGGAAATCATGTAATTTAGTTTGTCTCGAGTCACCTGATATGTCACATGATCAAGATCCCCACGATGCCCCATGGAAAGAATGAACATGTGCATTCTCGTTAGAGTTTCGTAGGATTTTGCCGCATGATGCCTCCATTGAGCCTATCGGGTCTCATGGGACTCAAAGCTGCTTAACGTGGAAAAGTCCCACGGAACCCATTGAGTCCCACGGGATCCCTTAGAGTCCGATCGGGCAAAGCCCCATGAAGTCCGACGAAGTCCCGTGTGGTCCTACGCAATGTTGAATCTACGGAGGTCCCAACGTGTCTCATTGGTGATTGGATTCCATTCCATTTCTTCAAGTCCATTAATTGACATACATCCATGCTCACGTAAAGAGCAAAATTCTTTATCAATTTCAGATTTCAAAGTTGGTCAAGCAAGCCAAAAAATTAGGTTTAACTGTGCGGACCGTCGGTCGTGGTCACTCCTGGTCCCCTTTACACCCCGACCCTTGTCAAATAGGAGTGTCTTTATCAGACCTTAAAGGAGAGAAGTACTCTTTAGATGCAGTAAGTATCATTGGTGTCCATTCGAGGTATATCCTCCTAGGTGCTGGCTAATCAGAATCATATACAGAAAAATAGGTAAAATGTAACCAGGGGAACGATAAGTGGTCCGGCTCTTAACTAAAAGCCCTGATCATATCACATATCATTTCATTGCGAAGGTGAGTCCATTCTTTAAAACAATGGAAGAAAATGTACTCATCTCTTGTTACAACTGTACATTCTTTAAAATAAACTACAGTTCATTTTACTGTGTTGCCACCTAAGTGGGGTTAAGAACAAATTTACTGGCTAGCATTTCATGACCAAATCGAGTTGAAATTAGGTATTGCTTGTTGCTATGTCAGTAATAACAAGATCTAGAGACTTCACTCTCCTTACCAAACTAAGTTGACATTCTAGGTATTTGTGTTGCTCTAATCAAAAGACAGCCATCTCCTTACCAAAGTGGGTTTTATTTAGGATATTTTTGTTGCTATTGTAGGAAAACAACAGACTCACCGTGTTATCGTCGGAGAACGTAGAGCAGATAATGCAATGGGCTGCAAACAAAAATGTGACATTAGGACCCATGCCTCTTAGAGTGTTGGACGCTTCCTTTCCCGGAATCATCGGAACTGGTTCTCATGTGAGTAAACTACAATAAAACCTTTCTTATCCGAACGCCATAGGGACTGTTCGAAACAGTAGGTGCTCATATTTCAACTTTTTTACAACAGTGTCAGGATTTAAGAGTAGACAAAATTGGATTTTTATTTTAATGGAATAAACCGTAAGCTTTTTTTTACCTTACACAATACCTAAATGATTAGAAGGGTACTTACATGTCAGTTTTTATATGCCATTTCAAAGTCGATTTCATGACAAAGTCACTACAATCTAAAATCGTGACATATATCCATGTTATTAACAAGTGAGTCTGTGGAAGATATGGGTCAGAGAGGTGTTCAAGAATGTTCAGATACTAATATACAGTCACTGTTATTTATTAGAAACTGACTGTAACTTGTTGCCACCCCATGTCCAATTTCAGTCGTCGAATATAAATGCTAGTCCCATTGCGAATGATGTGGTCGGACTTGAGCTCGTAGATGGAAAGGGCAGAGTCCGGAAATTCTCAGATAATGATGAGGAGGACAAAGAAGTTATTGACGCATGTAGGGTCCATCTCGGATTGTGTGGCATCATTTACAAAACAACAATAAAGGTCAGAATACAATTGTGATTAAAGTATGTTCGTTAGGGTGTATACACTCCAACCAAAAGCTTAGCAGGCCTGAATCCCTTTGGGCGGATCAATATTTTTGGAAGGGAGGTTTGATCTAGTTTTAACGGAACATAGAAAAATGCAAAATTTACACCATTCTCTGAAAGTTCCAATCTAAATATAGGTGATCCCTGATTTCAAATTGAAATTCTCATCTGGAGTTATTCCCGTACGTAAACTACTCGATACGACGAATCGTAAAGATCTTGTGATGAACAACTGGGGTGTCGTCATGATAATGCCTTTGACTTTCGCTGGTGCGACACAAGCTGAAAAGGATGCGATGAACGCCGATCCGTTACGGAGAATACCACAGAGCTATGACATCAGAAATGAAAACTTTTTTGTAAGGTACGTAAGAAGAGGATTGGAGAATATTGATACATTCTTACTGAAATTTGTTTCACTGTGTATACAATAGAGTTTTAACATTTTCAATTGAATAACCAGCCTTCAATAAAATCTTCGTGATAGGCCTGTCCAATATGTCCCCTTTGGGAGAACCAAAGAAATTCTGGTATATTAGAAAAATGATATGAAACAATGGTTATATTATAGGATATGGAGCGAGGTAGACCAGAACACGCCAATACAGGATCCTCAGCCCGACAGCATAACGTTAGCTGATGGATCGTCTTATAGCACTACGTCTGTGATCAAACCTTTTTCGTCAGGAATCTATAATGGGGCTTTCTCGATTGAACCCATAGGCTGTGTTAGGCCCAGGTCATCGATATCATTTGCCCAACCAGAATCTGACGATTTTCTTGCAAGTAGCGCAACTTTGGAGGTAGCATATTAAAAAAGAAAATAATTAATTTATTAATTCATGTGCAGGAGGTCTTGTTTGAGTTTACACTTCATTTTGATGGACTAATTTTACACTTGAGATAAACGACACGTCTGATTTAATTTTACAAATTGTTTTTAAGATAGTTGAGGTGTGACATGGAGATCGCTTAATTATGATCTCATATTTTTTAGTTTTCAGACATACATAATCATCTTGTATTAACCTAGTGTTGGGTGCCCTTATCAGATTAACCTCGGGATGAGGTGTTATAAGGGCATGAAGCAAAACTATTGTCTATTCGTCTCAATTTCAGAACGGCCTGAATGTGCTTGAAAGAATTTTCAAAGACATTGGTTTCTATCCCCGTTTATTTGGGGCAAATATTATACGCTGGATGAAACACGATGATCGGTGTTTGCTTTGTCACACTAATGTAAGTATGCATCTGAACAGTTCCTAGTTCGATTTAGATTGAAAGTAATCTAACTTGACATTCACTTTCCAACTGACCTCATAGTGCAATTCAACGATGGCAAACTAGTATCGACCAATTAGATCGCTCATTCACCTACCCTACTATCACACCGAATTAGTTTTCATTAAACTGTGTGCAAACGGAATGAACGTAGCTGCAACTTTTTATGAACGAATCCACTAAACGCAGTCTTGCGTGTGATAGGGAGGTTAAAGTAAGATTCTGCCTTCAACTCCTGAAATCATGGGAAAAGAAAAGTCTTACCTCTGAGGCAGCGCCATTTTGTTATCGAAACGGACTCGTTTTCGTAACCATTTTGAAGAGTTACACTACGGTGCTCAAACGGGATAGCGCATTGTTATCCTTACTGAGCAAACACCTTTCATTATTTTTTCTAGATAGCAAACGCTAACAAGAAGGTGATGTTTTATGATGCGTCGACTAACTTTGACGGTTGTAATAATTTTCTAATTAACAACACTGATAGGATCAGACTACAAGAGTTCGAGACTGAGGTTTGTCATCGCTTAAACCTTTTGCGAAATTAATTTTCACTTGTATCCATTGCAAAGCTTGTATTCGCGAATACAACTTTCAGCTGTCGGCTAGCGGATTAACCTACTATTTTATGGTTAATCCATGTGTAGCCACGTGGAATCCAAGCAAGTCTTGAACACATTATATTAAACTATACAACAATCGGGAACCATTTAGTATGCTATCCTGAAGGAGTCCGATAAGTTAATGTCTGATGATTGATTTCTCAGAGTTTAATTATTCAGACAGGTTATTTTATTTCACAAAAGTCTCACATTCTTGATCTTTTGTATTCATTTTATTTAGTTTGGCGCTGGTGTCATGAAAAATAACTCGCAGTCGTTACCACACTGGGCCAAGCACAACCCGTACGTTCCTGGAATGACCGACCTCTTCAGATCCAATTTGAATGAAAATCTGGCATCCTTCCTGAATGTGCGTGCCAAGTACAAGCTTGACAAGAAAAATGTGTTTGTGAATTGCCATTTGAGAGATATCTTTACTCTAGTGTAATTCTTTGACTTCATCAACTTGTGATGTATACTTCGGAAACTATCAAGACGATTTTGAAAATGATTGCTAATTACAGAGACATATGAAACATGTACAATCTTGTTTAATTGCACTATGTATCTACTGTAATTGTAATGCTGCTAACCTGAAATAAACTTGACTTAAAAAACAAATAGTTTGTGTACAAATAGTACTTATGAATATACGGCGAAGGGAAACTAATTGCATCGGCGTTTTATAGGTTCTGATAGTAGTCTCCTAAAGATGATAGGTGACCAGGTATAAAAGGGTAGGAGGTCCTATCAAATTATGGTCCTACTCTCCATTGATTTATATGGTGACCTAAATACAACTCTTTCCCTCATTATGTTATACGCAATCAGGGCCAGTAAGGGCCGTTGAGGAAGGGGACCATAATCCCTGGGGGACCATCATTTCTTTCACACCGGGCCAAATTGGACACCCTGATCACAGTAGATATTTATACACTTTTTCTCCAAAATTCAGTGTTAGAAGAGTAACGTAATTAACACACAATTTTTGAAAAAGTCTAGAAATTTTAAGTGTAAATCCCATTTTAACAAAACAACGTTTGTGTTATTATTATCACGAATATTCCTTGTTTTATATTTGAATTAAGTAAATAAATAATCAATGGGTCAAAGAATCAAAATGAAGAAGTTTTCAAATTCTCGTGGGTGTTACGGTAGAACAGTAATGCCTGGGTCACATATGCTCCGATCCATCGCCCGGCGCCCGGCCGATTGAGTGTTTTGTTCAATATTGTATTCAATTTTGAACAAAATACTCAATCGGCCGGGCGCCGTAGTGAAAATCGGAGCATATGTGACCAAGGCATAACGCGAAGGCTTTTGAAATATCACACCTTCATATTTAATTTTAAACAATTTGTTTTAATAACTGTGTTCCATGTAACAAACAGTAAGCAGCACAGAGCACATTATTGGTTGAGGATGATTTTCTTTGCGATGATTTATAAATATGAAAATATGGGAGATAGATAAGTGAGTAAACAAGTTGCATCACGGATATAATCCTCTTGTACAATAAAACGGAATAATTATAAATTCAAATAGAATGCAACTCATTGTCCCAAAGACCTCAACTGTTTTATGATTAAAATCTGCAATTAAAATGATCAGGTGAAATACAATTCCTAGTATTGGCAAGTAAAATATTTGCATTATCAGTTGTTTTATTGAGGTAGCGGTTCAAATGATTAATATTGTTGTATAATCCAAGGAGTACATAGAGATTATCCTATATGAGGTTCAGGATACTGGGATTATCCCGAGGCAAATATAATATATTTGCCCGAGGGCCGCAGGTCCCGAGGGAAAATATATCATATTGGCCAAGGGATAATCCCAATATCCTGAACCGACTATAGGTTAATATGTTTATCCCATACCAATCTTGGTCATCTGGCTCACATTGTTCAATCGTGGAAATATTTTAGAATATTCATGTCCAGTTTCGTTTCTTGGCCGTGGTCGGATTTTCCTGTTCTCTCAAATATTCCGACATTTATTTTCTGGAATTTTTTGATTGATTAAGTGGATGTTCCTTCCCTTTTTTAAACCATCAAACAGATCCCGATTGTCTGTGTTTTCCCCATTGTCGTTTACAGTCATTACGCGAACGTTACAAATTATGAACAAATATGCGAGCGGAGATTATGACGTAGCGGGCAGATATACTATATCTGCCCGCTCGGAGCGGGACATAAAGCTATATCTGCCCGCTGATGAAAATATAAGTTTTTACAAACCGGCTTTATGTACCTGTAACACGTCCAAGTATGGGATAAAGTCTTATATTTGAGGTAAATCCTAACTCCTAGTAACTATTTGAAAATGCAATGATACGACGTCAGATACTGTACATCGCGGCATTTTACTGCATTTTTAATGCGTACTTACTTTTAAAACCGCAATATCTCGACAGCAAAATCATATTTTTCTACAATTTTTCGTCATCAGTTGAACACGTATGTCCATGAAATATTTTGCCTATCAGAATTCCATATAACTGATCTGGGACTTTTTAAATGAGAATCACGCAAGCCGTATTATGCGACTTTATATGCTAAAACCGGGTGTCGACTGTAACATTTTGAAGAAAAGTGATTTTAATTTTAAACGAAAAATGAAGATAACTTTTTCATTTCCCAACGGATCTTTCTCAAATTTTTACAATATTTAAATTCACCATTTTGGAAAAGACAAACAGATTCTGTGTGATGACGTCATAATATAACAATGCTAACTTAACGCTTATATTTATGCAAAAAAAGTGTCGACAGGCAGAATTTCGTACCAACAAGATATATATTTTGATCAATTAAACATTAAATCGTTCGAAAGGTGAATTATTCTTTTTTGATTCCTGAAAGGCATATCATATTCTATATTTTTATCAAAAAACTATATCATTTCGATTAAAATTCAGTCTGTAAGAAGTATAAATTGAAAGAAATATGAAGTGAAGCCATGTGAAAAATTCACAAAATTACGTTTCATTTTTTGAGTTCAAATATTTCTAATTAAGGGATAAACATTCAAAACTTTCCAATGTTTCAGCATGTTCTTTTAAATATACCCCTTACTACATACAATTAATTTCATTTAATTTGAACCAGTATATATTGAGATAGACATCGTTTTATCACCGCAACCCCAAGTGAAGCCTTTACAAAATAAGACGTTACGCCGTTAGCGTATTATATGTTCTCCTTTATTATTCATTGCTTTAAATAAATAAAACTAAATATTCGAGCTAAAATAAATTACAAATAATGCATTTAACAATCCTTTATATCTTTCCGTCTGTGTTTATCAGTTGAATATGACAAGGGGCATTGTGAAAGAGTCTAGGAAGACGGTGCGACAACGAGAGCGCAGGGCCGAAAAGCGCGACAAAGAAGAAAACGGGTAGGGTTTGAAATGTCTACTTTCTGGTGATTCTAATTCTGTATATCGTGACACAACCTTTTTGAATATAGAATTGTATTGAAGCGCACATTAATCTGAACAAAACTTGAGGTTTTTAAGAAGATTCCACGAATATTAAACCGTTTGCAATTACTTGGAGGAGCATTGCGCATATTTATCGCGTAAATCCTTGCATTTTGTCGGTAAAATGAACAATTACACTGTTACACCGTGATGTACAGTATCTGACGTCGTATCAATATGTTCTCTCAGCCATGCGTTATACATACCATAGATGAAGGGAAAACGTTATATTAATTTGAATTAAAATCCATGATCGAACTGTAGTTTATTTCAAAGAATGTACAGCTGTAACAAAGGAGAGTGCATTTTTTCTATTACTTTTAAAGAATGTACACTTGACAAACAATTAAATGTGGCACAAAAGACGATTGCTTGTCACATACAGTGCACTAAAGCTGAACTAATTAAACCCTATTCACTCATCCAATAGTTGAATAGTAAACACAAAAGAAATCAAATTTTGAACTGTACTTGGCCAGTTACATGCAATGCACTGAAGCTGAACTAATCAAACACAATTCTCAATACACTTACCTCATAGTCAATACAAAAGAAAACATTTTTTCCAAGAATTGGATCATGGACCATTTACCGTTCATAAGACTCAGCGTGTGGTTTAAATTAGATAAACCATTCGTATTGGGTCTTAGGAGAATTAATAGCCTCGGCCTGGAGGCATCGGTAATTATTTATCATAAAATCCAATTCTCTTATTTTATCCCTAACAAATAAAGTGTATTTAAAGTTTTAATAACAGCAAAATTTACATACAAACCAATGGGACAGATGCGAAGAACAACCGATTAGTGAAATGCCAACTATGTCCTGGCTCCCTTTATCAAGGGTTTTGACGATTATACAAAAGTCGTCTTTCAGATTCATGCCTCTGAAAATTCAAAATGTCCAAAATGTTCAAATGCGAGGATTCGGGTTAATTTTGATTTCTCTCCAAAGTTTGAATACCGGAGAGCTTGGGATTCTATAATCCTCCTTTGCAAGTTGTTTTGTGGTGAATTTATGAATTTTGAGATCGGTATAAATTGTAAAACTTCAAATAAATCGACATGCATTTTTCATCCTTTTCAACCTGTTGACATATGTGACTTGGGGTGCAAGCAAAAAAACTGATCATCATGAATCCGATAATGACGCTAATAACGGCGTTCCTGATCGCTGTGTATCTCGGGGGTTTTGAAGCTGGTGTCATATATGCAAAGCGGAATGCCGATGCTGTCATATCAGTGAGAGAAAAGAGTAGTAAACATTTTTTTTATTTTTTTTTATTTTGACATACGCTTTTTTAACAGCGGCACACTATTATTAGGTGCGTCAGTATTTGTAATCTACATATATATTTTATAAGCACTAAAAATGTTTACATAAAATACTACAGTTTTCTAGGGTTAAAAAGTGTTGCTAAAAACATCTTCACATATTTATCAAACATATAAAAAATGTCATGCCCCCATTCCATAAAAACCTTATCACCAAGTAGTGTAATTAACCTATCATGAATGTTCGAAGACAATAAACTGCTACTTAAAATGGGAGAAACATATTTCTCTACATCGTTGTAAAAGTCGGACCTGGCTTTGGCAAAATGGGGACACAACATTAATCTGTGTGATAGAGTATCTCTCAAATTAAGATTACACATTATACATATACCATCACTTTTGCCCCACTTTTCATAATTTGTCTCAAGGCAGAAATTATTCGATCTTGCTAGAAATTTCATTTTAGATCCATAAAAATCAAGGTCATTCTTAAGGTACCTTTCGGTGCGGTTATGGGTTTTAACCTCCTTATATATATCAAGGGAGGGGTGTTCAGCTACCCTAGTGTGGAAATTATAAATGCTTTGTGATTGAGATATAGTTAAAAATGAGGGGTACCATTCGCTGTCATTCCGAAAAATAACATCATCTAAACCTTTATCTCTTAAAATATTCCGTGCATTTGATGCAAATTTCCAATATGATTCTTTGCCGACTTTTAATAATTTTAGCAAATTCTGTAGGATTTTATGAGGGAGGGATGTAGTTGGTACATTAAAATTTAGGTAGTTCAAATAGTCAATTTGTCTTTTTTCAATCACCTCTGCTATCGGTTTCCAGCCTAAATCCCCCAATATAGATTCACTGGCGGGTTTACTTTTAATTTGAAAAATGGCTTGGGCGGCACCATATTGAAATGAGGTAATTTTGGCAAGGCTTGACTTTGGGAGTACCCAGGTCGGGCATCCATGCAGGATAGCAGGTGCCATCATAGAGTTGTAAATCGTACTTCCAAATTCAATGCGCTTGACATTACAATGTTTGGTTAAAGTAGAACTTAAATAATTTTTCATTTTCCTGGCCTTTTCATATAAATATTTCAGATGTGCAGTTTCTTTGAGACTTCTATTGAACATTACTCCAAGATATTTGTACTCATTTACCTCTGGCAGTCTCAAATTCCCTAATGACCATACCTTTTCCGAATCAAGTCTTTTCCCTATTATCATTATCTTAGACTTTTTGTCACTTAACTGAAATCCCCATTTAAGTCCAAAATTATTAGTGATTGTTAACATTGACTGGAGTTCTTTCTCAGATTGACCCATTAACACAATGTCATCGGCAAAAAGAAGACAGGGGATTTTTTTATCTTCAAAGGGCAGACCAAAACTGGACATTCTTAAACTGTCTTCAAGGTCTGTCATTACTATGGAAAAAAGGGTCGGGGATAGAATGAGGAGTCAAACCAGTCAGTTTCATATTGTCCAAAGATTACCTTGTTTGAAGTGTTAGAGTATAGTGATTTCAAAATCCTCCAAGTTTTACCTTGAATTCCCTTTTCCCAAAGTTTTAGAAATAGCAAATCACGATCTAAAGCGTCAAATGCCTTAGAAATGTCAATAAAAGCTAAATAGGATTTGAGTTTCTTATCTTTACGAAGGCTACATAGTCCTTTAAGGGAAAAGATATGATTTTCTAATCTTTTGCCTTTTTGAAATGCGCCTTGAAGGTCACCTAAAAGATTGTTTTCACGAAGAAAGTCCATTATCTGGTTTTCCAACAGACTCGAGAATAATTTATACATATTGGATGTAATCGTTATTCCACGATAATTATTGAAAACTTCTGGATCACCTTCCTTATGGAGGGGTTTGACAATACCTTGTTGCCAATCAAATGGAACATGAAGCAGTGGTAAGTTTTGCTCCTTAACAGTAAACATTCAACTTCCAATATCCATTTAATCAAATCATGCACCAATTAGTACTTATAAGGTCATTCTTTCGGTTTCAAGGCACAAAAAATGATTGAAAAACTAAAAAAGCTAATTTTCAATAACTTATTACAATTTTATTAACAAACATTGATGCCTGCAAAGTATGACATCATGAATCTAGCTTCCTTTCGTCACCTAAAGGGGTCAGTAGTTGTTGGAAAGGTCTTACTCTAAACTTGAAAATTTTAAGTCTGGGATAATTTTTCAAAAATTCCGGGTTTCCGGGCTGTAGAAAAAAATCTAGTTTTTTTCGGGTATCATTTTTCTTGAAAAATCCGTAGCTATATTCAGTTTTTATATACTAAAATACGTTTTTCCAGGAATGAGTTTATTGCTTTTGAGGCATTTTTATACATGAATTATTTAGAAAGTACATAATTGGAGGTTACTAATGGATTACCCAGATGAATTTGATACGTTAGATTCTCACTGGAGTCTTGTCATTTACATAAGAGGAAGCAAACAATAAATCACAAGTTCAGTAGGAACAGATGCCCATTAGCAACCAAATTTTTCTATTTAACAACATTTTTTGTTGTGAATAGCCTAAGCAAAACGTCCATTCACTATGAAGTAAAAATAGACTGCATTTTATTTGGGTTTTTTTGGAGGTCAATGATTATGTGCATGAAAGCATGATAATTAAGACAATTGAACTTGGTGATATCGAGGCTGCAATCAACATATCGACATTTGAATGACGTTGACCTCATTTTCACCATTTTTACAATGTTTAATGCTTCTTTATAATGTTTCAATTAGTTATTAAAGGAAAACTGAATTGCTCTTAGATTAGTGTTCCCCATATTATTTCCCCAAAGGGAAATCTCATACTATATATCCATTGATTTCAGCTCGTTTTGGTCATCCAAATTCAGTATCTTTATAATCCCTTGAGCAATCCTCTTTTCCTTCTCAAAGCACATTCTAAGTATGCATTAATGTTGCCTTTTCAATGAAAACCAGGTCAATTTTTTGGAAAAAGTATTTGTTGACGGGTTCATTGCCCCTTTATTATCACTTATTCTGATGAACTTATTTATCATTATACATATACCTTTCCTGGATAATGAATTGATATCTCATATGACTAACAAAGATACAGCCATCTTTACGCAGATACTTTAGCGGTTTTTTTCATTTGGACCTTGTCTACTATTTAGTAGGTTTAATTAAACCACTTTTTCAAACTTTGATATTTTTTACCCTTTTCATTAGTTTGATTTTGCTCCCAAAAAGCTCTTCATCTACCATGTAATGTACAAGGCTTTGACACTTACAATAACCAATCGAGGTTCTATATTCGATTGCGTGACACGATTGTAGGTTTATTGTTTCAATATATGACTCATCGTTTGCTTCAAAGGGTTTTCAGTTAATAAAGAACACAGAAGCAGATCAATGAAACTACTACCAGGAGAGCTTAAAAAATTCACAACAGACCTGGATCGTGTCTTATCTTATCGATTTTCTGCTGTTTGAACACCAATTGCCAAACAAATATAAAAAAGCAATCGTCCAGATGCTTTCATATCGACAAAATGTTACTATAGTATACTACTAGTATTAACTACACCATATATGACACCATATCAGTTCTTTCAACTGGATCAAAGCAACTCATGAAAGTGATCCGTAAACACAGGGTTGGGATAGGCCTTTTATTACACATGATAAATTAAAGTACCAGTACTATTACAAAACAATCATGAAAGGAACAGACACAACAATGAGGAAGACAACAACAATAGAGGGGGATCGATCACCTCTTTGGACTCGGGATGAAACGTTCATAATAGACCACAACAACGCCACGAGGAATAACAAAACAAACTTTAGAAATGAGATCAATTTTAAAGAAACAATCGTAACAGATGAATACAACGATGTGCCCAGGCAAGACAGGCATGTTCCTGAAGATGCTCGAGTAAAAGATGAATTGGAAACAGAAAGGAAAGTTGATGATTTCATAAATACTCCGAACCTTCCATCCAGGCCTAGGGCATCAACAATAGGAAGTGATTACAGGCGAGAAATCCTGCAGCGTACTAATAAACGATTCAAGTCGATTAAAAAATATACGCAAATACCTGTATTAAAGCGAAACAGCTGGCGATCGAGATCTACATCTCATGCAACAAATCCAGGTCCTGAAATAAGCAGAGCAGACGAAATGTCGTCGTATTCAAGCAAATCCAGACGACATTCAAGTCATTATGTGAATTTGGACACAGCCGACAATTGCGATTCTAAAGATGATGACAACAACGATGATGAAACATTTTGTGATGATAAAGCACAGGGTGTTCTGAGAATAAAACGTAAACACCTACGAAGAAGGATTTTGAGCGACCCAGCAGAGTTGGATGATTCAAAAGATTCGTTACCAGTATCCATGCGTGAACAGACCTCATGTGAGTCGTTCTATAATAAGACAGCGGAGAAAGTGATAGAACGGTATAGAAAACGTGCAAATTCAGATATCACAGAACTATCAGCAGCCACTCAACATTTTAAAGACATATACTCTTCAAATCATGATCACGAAAGTTCAGACATTGTTTACCTCAAGCATAATTTGCCTCGGAAACTGAGACCATTGTTTCCCGAAAGACCAGAGACAAAGCCTGGATTTCACGAGGACATGCCTCACGTGGAGATTAAGAACACCTCTTTAAATTCATCGAGTGATGATATATCGCCAATCAATACCTGCAATAAAAACTACAGTGCGGGTAATGAGCCAAAGGCTAATCTAGAGACAGAAATTGCGTTGCGAACAAATCTTCCGGCAAGTAATTCTCGCAAGGCATTGATCCCCTTGAAAGGTTACACGCCGAATATTTTGGACAAGATAGAGAGAGAGAAAACGCCATTGATAATGGACCATGGGTTGGTCAGAAAGGTAAGCACATTTACGATCTGACATGACGTACGTACACAGTTCTCACTTATTATCGTGATGAAGCAGATTTGCAATATTCTGCTGGATCAATAGTCATAAATGTTTTGTTTCGTAAAATGCTGTTTATAGCTCTTTATTGATAAATATAGGCTAATTATAGAAAGGTGGAGTCAATTGAAATATTCTAATAAACAGAAAAGAGTATAAATGACAGATCATTAGCAACAAGGTTATCGATTGATAACATAATATGTCAAAAATGGAAATCGTTCCAGCACATGGGAGCAATAATCTAATACAAAAAATGTATTTAACTAACCTATTTTGTATCGTTGGTAGTTTTCATACATATATTGTGTATTAGTTACCATGGATACCAATGTATCATTATTTTACATTCAATAAACTTGAAACATCCAGGCACTCATTTAATCCATGTAATTTGCATTTCCACACAATTTCACCCAACTGATAATTGATTTCTTTCCATGAAGATGTTAGCGTGACCTCCTCTCCCATCTAGGGTATATTCATCAATACATAAACATGTTATGGAATCATGTTGGTTACTTAACACATTCTTCACCTCTTCTCTCCTATAGCTTTTGAATAAGATTTTTCTTGATGTTCAATAACGTCATTCCATTTACAGGTAAATTCATAATAGATAATTACTATTATTGCTCTCACTGAGATGAGTAAACGGATCTGCCTGTGATTGAAATACAATATCATTATTTTCCGAATACAAATAGATTTAAAGAACAATCCAACTGTGCACAGTTTAATATTAATACCACTTCAAATGTGGATTGTAAATGCCACGACAAGAATTTATTTTTGCTGCTACTACTTGATTTTGATTCGTCGAAACTAAGGTGACGCAAGTTCTGTATTAGATTTTATCCGTCCAACTTCATCTTATACATTTTATAAACTTCTATAATAGGGTCAGGCGACAAGGGCAAAATAATATGTTAAGGTCACTTGAAAGGTCAAACATAAAAATAGGGTCAGGCGACAAGGGCACAATAATATGTAAAGGTCACTTGAAAAGTCGATCATAAAAGTATGATTTAAAACGCAAATCAATTTGATCACGGAGTCAACTTACAAAACAAATATTCTTAAAGGGTTCCGATTAGCATCCCGTATAAAAACAATATGGCGGCTCCAGGCGAATCAACTGGATCAGTCCATTTTTAAGAAATAAGGGGAGTTCTGTAAAATCCAGTTTATTGAAATTGTCTTTGAGATAAAGTAATCCGTTTATAATGATTTTGAAAACGTTATCCAAAGAGTGATTGCGTTCAAAGAATACATGTACAACAGACAATATAAATCCTTGTATTAGAAACCGGTTTGTCTTGCTTTATTTCATTTGTAGGATATTTCATATGCCAAGCTGTGTGCTATTACGTTATGGGGAAATTTAGATGCCAATTTTTCCTTATTATACACAAATAGAAGATCCTGAAACTTCACCCATAAATGTAGAATTGATTTGTCAAAATAAAAATCACCCTTTTATAAATGTGTGACGATCTATAATATACTTATGCTATATAACAGTTAGAGGTGTTGACACAACGACCTCGAACCTGTGAACCCTTGAGTATTATTCCGGGATCGGGCCTTTTATACTAAACGGTGAGCAACACCAGAAACGAGCGTTCGATTTGCTAAACGATATGCGTCACCCTTTAAGGCAGAATGAAATGTTAAGTAATGGAGAGACCATAAGCACTGGCTGTTAGATAAAATAATGGCCGAAGGCTCGGGCCATTATTTTACCTTAGAGCCAATACAAATGGTTTATCTAACTTAAAAGGCACATTGATTCTAATGAAAGGTAAATGGTTCATGATCCATTAAGCTTACACTTTACCATACTGTAAACTTTTATTATTTTTGTATTGACTATTCAATTATTGGTACTAGAGGTAAGTGAGTTGGTGAATAAGTGAGAAGGGTGTAATTAGTTCAGCGCTTCAATGCACTGCATGTGACAGTACAGGATAACATGGAGGAGAATTTGTACATGTAAGTTAGCTTAGCTCAATACTGTAGGTCTCAACACAAAATAATAAATTGTTTTATTTTAAAGAATGCACAACGACAAAAGAAAAGTACATGTACACAGTACATTTGTATATTGTTGTTTTTTTAAATGATGGAAATTATCAATATCTGTCAATAGTCTTTTGTGCCACACTGGTTTTTGATGGCTCGCCAAGTGTCCATTCTTCAAAAACAATCGAAAAAGAATGTACACTTTCTTTGTTACAACTGTATATTCTTTAAAATAAGCTACAGTTCATTCCATTGTGTTGCTACCTAAGTCATATAAGTTGGGTTTAACATGACATAAGTTATGTTTTTCTTTTACAGGGTTCTGGTCATCATACGACCGCAATCGAACCTCTCAGGCGTGTGAACAGTGAAAAGGCTCGTCCCATATCTAGTCGCCATGGTAACCTAAGCAGAGACAGACCGGCATCTGTAAAAGATAAAAAACACCCAAGGTACATAGTAAAATCACCATTCAATAATCATTCAATAACCATTCAATAATCACCATTCATGTGAATCAACAATTTTGTTTTTATCAATTGCATGTTTACTCAAGGTCGTGTGATATTGTCATGAAACTCTTTTGCCGAGATTCCTGCAATCAAGAAACTACTTCAATTAAAACATCATATTTTTAAAGGGTACAAATTGCGCAAAAATGACTGCGTTTTTGCGGAGTGCATTCTGCATGTACCGTTCTTTAAAATGTTGATTGACATATTATCATGTGTTTAGAACCGCCATAACAGTATTATTATATATCTGTTAAAACCGAGTAAGAATTTAACAAACTCTAAGTGTAAACCTGTCATAAGAAAAATAGACCCTATATATCCCAAAACCATGATCTAACGTGAAAAGAAACAACGTCTTACAGGTTGTTTGTTTTTCATTTGCAGATCAATAGAACAACTCAAACAATGTTCAGCTGAGGAAATGGAAAAATTGAAAACGGGCAAAGAACCATCACGACAAGGAAGCATAAAGTCAAGAAAGTCCCTCGATCGCGCAAATTCACTACCTGATAGCGAGGCTGGGGCAGACGACAGCCAACTCTCAGAAATGATGTCACAATTAAAAACATGTCGATACCTAAGGACAAATACTGACTTAACTGAAGAAACATGATACATATGGGTCCCATCTCCTCAATTATAATACTTAATTGGTATATTGGTGCACCAGAAATGTATTACACGATCTTGCCGTAACTACCTTGATTCTTGCCTTACATTGATTCCGTCCTAATAAACCGTCCAATGAAACAATTTAAAGACTGACGAATCATAATTTGTGTGAGGATGGATGTTGTTTTGTATTAAAGTGTTGTACACATTTATACTACTAATAAAATTAATTAAAACATGGTTATTTTATGTAAGAAACTAGTTCTTTCTTGATACATAATTTCTCGGGTGTTGACTTTTGGCTTGCAACCGATCGCGCGAAGATACTCCAAGAAAACCTGGAGATTGCCGAAGATTTTCTTTGCAAACGAAGTTGGCCGAGGGTACCACGAATGTGAAGAGGACGTCTCTAATTGGTAAAAAAATTAGTACCGTGGGTACTGGGATCACATGGTGTTGCTCAAAAGTGAAATTTTATAAAAACAGATGTAATTTTTTGCAGATTTTTTGTGACAAAATTATTTCATACAACTACTTTTTACAAAGACATGGCTTTTTACAATGCAGGACACCTGAACTTATTTGTAAAGCTAGGAAATGGGCCAAAAGTGAATTTCCCGAGACTAAAATGGTGGCCATTTTGAAAATAGGCAAGATTTTAAAGCAGGAGTCACAGTTTTTTTTTTCTTTATTTATGTTGAACAAAAATATTTTAAATTGGTAATCCTATCTACTGAGGATTTAAAAAGAGCCAAGTGTTGACAGACAGAGGTTTTAAAACTTGCCACTATTTTGGACTGACTGAGAGACAGATGGACAAATCAATGTTAACTAAAATGGCTGAAAATAAAAAAACGGATATAATATTTAGCCGATTTTTTTGTAACAAAATTATTTCATACAACTACTCTTTACAGTGACATGGCTTTTTACAATGCAGGACAGCTGAAATTATTTGTAAAGCTAGGAAATGGGCCAAAAGTGAATTTCGCGAGACAAGAATGGCGACCATTTTGAAAATAGGCGAGCTTTTGAACCAAGAGTCATAGGAGAGTTTTTTGTATTGATGTTGAACAAAATTAACTTAAAACAGGAATCCTATCGACAGAGGGTTTAAGGCAAATGGTCCAAAAGTGGATTTTGCGAGACAGGTGGACAAATCAATGTTAACTAAAATGGCTGAAAATAAAAAAAAATGGATGTAATTTTTAACGGATTTTTCGTAACAAAATTATTTCATACATCTACTCTTTACATTGACATGGATTTTTACAATGTAGGACACTTGAAATTATTTGTAAACCTAGGAAATAGGTCAAAAGTGAATTTCGCGATACAAAAATGGCGGCCATTTTGAAAATAGGCGAGCTTTTGAACCAGGAGTCATAGGGGAGTTTTCTGTATTGATGTTGAACAGAAATAACTTAAAACAGGAATCCTATCGACAGAGGTTTTAAAACGTGCCACTGTTGTTGACGGAAAAGTGGATTTCGCGAGTCAGATGGACAAATCAATGTTAAATAAAATGGCTGAAAATAAAAAAATGGATATAATTTGTCGCTGATTTTTTGTAACAAAATTATTTCATATATCTACTCTTTACATTGACATGGATTGTACAATGTAGGACACCTGAAATTATTTGTAAAGCTAGGAAATGGGTCAAAAGTGAATTTTGCGAGACAAAAATGGCGGCCATTTTGAAAATAGGCGAGCTTTTGAACCAGGAGTCATAGGGGAGTTTTCTGTATTGATGTTGAACAGAAATAACTTAAAACAGGAATCCTATCGACAGAGGTTTTAAAACGTGCCACTATTGTTGACGAACAGACAGACGGACGGACGGACAGACGGACAAGTGAGCGATTGCAAAAGCTCACCATGTGAGCTAAAAAGAGAGGCTCGGCATTCTTCGTCAGATTTAGTCGTCAAAATTCGGTTGTATGGCTTATCTTCGGTTGAATAGCTTACCTTCGGCTGCATGGCCCAACCTCGATTGAATGGAAAAGATGCTGTCCCATAATTCATCAACTAATCGCAATGAATATCGACACGATTGAGTGTAGCGACTATGTTGGTGATGATGAAATTGAAATTGCATCAAGAAATGATGGTCTATGGTATACATTATTTGCAGTGTTCACTAGTTGTGTTGTTATCAGCAGTTTCCTTCTGGTAGGAGATTGTGCAAGCGGGAATAAGTTATAGGCCTACATCACCAGTCTACCGTCCTTCAGATACTCTGTAATTGCTACCAAATGAATAAATTGCTATAATAATGTATGATGTGTTGTCGCGGCTAACCAAGAACAGACTATCACATAATTGGACGAAAGTTCAAAATGAAACTTATAGTCATAATAGATGGTAGCCAAGGCAACGTAGACACTAAGAGATAAACTCAGAAATGGCTTCAATCCTTCAGGCTTTTATATTACGTATCTTCAAGAATCAAGAAAAGAGATACTGATTAAAACGCAAGTATAGAAAGTTTGCTCTCTGTCCCTGATTCTACGCACCTTCAATATTATTACTTCCGAATGTACCAGAGTGGGACATTTTGGGATGTTGGTTGTGATATTTTTTGAATTATCTGATTTAGTGTTTTCACTATTTTTTATTATTGATTATGGGCATAGTTACTTAAAGTTGTGGAGCAGTTTTTCCACTAATGTTAATAACTCAGATGCGAGTAGGCAGTTACCATTTTCACAACCAGGTGGCTGAATCGGGGTAAATAATATGGCAGGGTATTAGAGTATTCCCTTAAACTTGAATATTCATCAGTTTAAGGGGTTCAATTTTTATATTAATACCCTTATGTATTTTGCTAGTTATGCAAATTGAAACATGTCCAGTAAAAGAAAATATTAACTGTCCAATATAAGAAAAGATATTTTACTTTTTGTGATTTTATAATATGGGGTCTATAGGAAGTCATATTTTCAAAGAAAAATAAATTTTCAAAGGATCTAGTGCACCCGCCATTATGATCTCCCCATGAACAAAATGAATCATTTTTAGGTGTAACATAAAGAATACAATGTCACATAATACTGTGGAAAATATTTAAGCGTTTGGACCCACATGGGCTGAGGTTGAGGTCATTAAGTTCAGCAAGGGTGTATTGACTTGCCATTGGATGTGCTCCATTGACTTAACATGTGGATATCATCAGATTCCAATGGAGGCCATTGGTTTCTATTGATTTTCACCAAAATACCTAAAATACACTATGACCTGAATCGATTGCAAATTAAATAATTCCACAATATGACACAAATGGTATATCACATCAGATGTGCAAATATAAAGTTTGCAATCGATTCAGGTCATACTTCAAATTAAAGGCTTAGACATTTTTTTCATCATTTTTTTTCTACAAAATGGCTATAGGAAAATGCTTCAAAAGCCACTTTTACACTTATGAAATCCCATACAACTTTGTAAATCCAAAGATTATACTGTTATGTTTCATTAATTAATAACATATTTGGATAAGATGTAGGGATGTGTAGGATGCAAATGGATTTTGACAGACACAAAAACACTTCCTGGTTTGGCATCTCGACTCCTGTACACTTTATGATTGAATATTGGCCCTAATAAGTGGCCCATTCATCAATACAGTGCTGAATATAGGTCAAAAAGATACTAGTGTACATATAAATGTAATAATACAATAATCTCAAGGGGAGATCCCAATGGAGGGTGTATAAGGTACTTTGTTAAAAACGTATTAAAACCACATTTCTAGATGTGATTTAACTAGATTTTGAATTTCTAATGATGTAAATCAAAATTATTTCTACTCGCACCTATTGAATTGCTCCACGCTTTTCCTGACCATTTGAGAAAATAACAACATTATAAATTATTAATGTGATTTTTATAAGCACAAAAATGGCGAATTGTATAAATTCGTATAATAAATCTATATTTTTATTCTACATTTAAATTTCAGATTCTCCTTTTCTAGCTTCACTAACATATTGCTACAACATATAAAACATTCAATATTGCATTACTATATACTCTCAATAATCATAATTATTATGTAAAATACATGCATGGAAAATTCGAAGTTATAATATATTTGATAGGACAATGTACATATTAGTTTGATAATGGACGGAATTTCAAACTGAAACTTCACCTTAATGGCGACATATTGTCGGGCTCAACAATATAAAATATTGTTTACTTCTTGTGACAATGTTTATTGTAAATGTTAAATAAATAATGAGATAAATGTTTGAGGGTAACAACCTTTTTAGGTCCGAACAAGTCATCGACCCAGTTATTTATATTTCTTGATTTTCTAACAATGTATTGCCCAATATTTTATTTCTCAAATGTGTACTCATACGATTGTGATACTAGGGAGGATCATAACCGGAAGTTTGATAATTCCCAAGTCCATTATCCTCTTACCATGACGTCATTACAATTGATTTTGGAATAGTAAATATATGAACGTTTCTTCTAATGGCCCCAAATTTAATAGATTTCAATTATTGCATAACTCGTTTTATCTATCTTCACTATATAACTGGTGATTATATATTCCACATTTGAGCCACAAACGACATTTCTCATCAACCAATTTTCTCTGCGGTCTTAATTTGTTGATCTATAGCCTTTATTTACTTCTCCTTGTTTATTATCATCTGGTGTTTCTGGTAATGGACGTTCGGCGTTGCTATTCTGTTTTACAGGTTCTGGTCGTGGGATAGTTTTAAATTCACTCAGAGCCTTTTCGGGGTCTTTCTGTGGATCAGTTTTCTCTTCATAAAGGTCAGGTTTTGATTGAACCTTCTTGTTTTTACAAACACATAATACAATAATTGCTATTATCACAAGCACTGCGCCAATTGTCCCAAAGGTTATGCCTAGAATTGTTCCGATGTTAGGCTGTGGCACTGGAGAGGTGTCTTTCAGATACGCTGATACTATGTTAGACCTTTCACTTCTCTGGCCGGCATTTCCAATTACAACCAATGCAAAATAGTAACTAAGTACATTTCCTGAAATGAAAATTATACGATTTGTTAAGGCTTTTGTACATGGTTAAACACTAGAAACTTCTATCTGACTCTCATCCAAACTCTCTGTTGCATCGCAATTGTCAAGAAAGACAGAGATAAAGAAAGCGTGGTTTACAACGTTGCATAAACCTGTATTGTATTCTAATACATGATTCTAAAAAGGGACGTGAACAGATAACTGTATCGACATCTTCCATACATTTTAGATACTAATACTAAACACACATGTTTTCAAATTTTATAAGCAATACCTTTTACAGGAATATTTATGAGGAAGGTCTCTTTATTTCCTGCTTGTTTTGGAGTAGAGAAGTTCGACTTCGAAGCTACATAGCTTTGCGGGGCTATTGTAGCATTGGTGAAGTTATTGTATAATGCATCAAATGTATTAGCTATTCGAAGTTCATATGATGTGGCTGAAAGATAAAAAATTAAATGCATTCATTGAAGGTTACAAGAAGGCACAACGCCTGGACACATATGATATGAAAATGTGTTACACAAATCGTTCGGATTTTCGCTCAGTCTATAATGAGGGTAAAACTTGTGAATATTTCGTTTGCTAATACAAAGATTCGATAATTTCGTATCGATTGCCAAATGTTCAATGAGGTGCTCTGATATACCTACCAGAGGTCAGCGAGTGGAAGTCTGAGAAATAGATTCACAATTTAAAACGTTATACAGTATACGAGAATCGATGGACGCTGGCATACCTGTTCCAGAGTCTAATTGAGCACCAGTAGCTGTCCAAATAAGTTCAACCTGTTTTCGACCATAATCTATTCCAGCAACAGCGAGATCACTAACTCTCGAAGGAGGGTATAACGTTGCAGCAACTTCATGAAATCAAATATAATTTATTATTCAACAAAATCTTAAGTACATTAATTAATTTTACTGATCAAGAATTTCCAGCTCTTTGTTTATAGTTCAAGGGATACATATGGTGGCACTGGGGACTCGTGGATGATGCGTACATTTTGTAATTATTAGAAATCTATTGTTTCTATTGCTTATAGAAACACTGCAAGACACCTATACAATGTGAAATCTACAATGGGGTTACCCATACCATGTGGAATCTACAATGGGGTTACCCATACCATGTGAAATCTACAATGGGGTTACCAATACCATGTGACATCTATAATGGGGTTAGCCATACCATGTGACATCTACAATGGGGTTACCCATACCATGTGACATCTACAATGGGGTTAACCATGCCATGTGACATCTATAATGGGGTTACCCATACCATGTGACATCTACAATGGGGATAGCCATGCCATGTGACATCTATAATAGGGTTACCCATACCACGTGACATCTACAATGGAGGCTACAATTTCAAACCTAACCTTGAGGTGAATAACCCATCAGTTCAAATGACCCTGCTGTAGCCACTCGTTGGAACGATTCCGTTTTTACATCTGGTTGATTCTGAGAGCCATTTTCCTCCCATGTCGGATCTTGGACACCTAATCCAATGACCCTTTTGGGACTGATAACAGTTTCATTGCCATTATTCACAGTGACCTACAATACAATGTCATGTGTCTTATTCAAAGTAAACCACCAGCTTGTATAAACATGGTTCTACTAAATCTAGCTTTATACAAATACGAATTTTCTAGTTCGTGTTTGACGAGTCGACCACCCGTTATAATTTAATAATGTAATTAAATAGTAAACATTTTACTGTATTTTACCTTTACATTATATCTTCCATTAAGGTTAAATTGTGTAAAATAATTTGAATAAATGCCATCATCCTTAGTTAGATCAGCACCTGAAAAACCGTGAATACAAAATAGACATATGCATATCTTATCATTTATGCCAGCTATATTAGTCTTGCATCAAGACACCCCCGCCCCATTTTATACTTAAAATAATAAGTAAAAATCTGAAGCTCAAATCGCCTACCTGCGCCATTATCAAGTAACTCTAAGACAATTGGTTCTGCTTCAGGAAGTTCAATTGAAGCTTTAACATTTGCCTTGAGTACTGGGGAATAACCTGAAATATACAAAAACTAATTAGATTAGAATAATGATGATAAAAGATTTAAAGGATGTGATCATTAAAAATCTGATAGAAAAACCGATTTGAAACATAAACAAAATGGCATAGAATATGTCACTGCCAATGGGAAAGGACCAAAACTATTATTGCAGATCACCTAAGAGTACACCAATGATAGGCCATAAGTATATTCAGGATTAAGCTCGTGATTAAATAAAATTGTTTCTAAAAACTGGAATTGTTTGTTAATTTTATATGCACTTCTTACCGTTTGTAAAGAGGAAATTACAAAAATTGTACCTTTTGAAACACTAACATAAAGTGTTTGTCTATCTGGTTCTGGCTTGTTGAGGTCGATAACGCGCAGACCCCATTGAGCTGTGGAGAGAAGTGGATAGTCACCAGGTTTGGCTGCTTGAGATGTCACTGTGACAGAAACACGTTGTCTAGATGATGTAGGATTCGTGATGTTGTATGTGTATGATCCAGGCTAAAAGAATAGCAACACGAAAAATTAATATACAAATAACTCGTAATGACATGGATGAACAGGCTTATGGGAAAGTGACATAAAATACCAGCCTACTTTTCGCCGATAGAGTATTATTATATCATTTACATATCTTTCATTGCATTTAGAATCGGTCAAATCCAATATCAAATTGTCAAAAATACCTCAGCCAAGCCTGGTATTTTGAACCTAATGACTTTGATAGAGTCATCCCTTGTTCCCGCGGCAGATGAGCTCATGACTTTTCCATTTGGTAATGTCAAGTCAATTGAAATCCCTGTACTACCATAATCGAATGAGAAATCTGTATTTCTTCCAATAGATGAATCCAGTGAGACTGACTCGACTAAGGATGATTTACTAGACAGCAGCTCAGCTTTACTGATGAGTTGCAAATTTTTATCTGATATTCCTGTAAACAAAAGAAAAAAATCGGAGTTTTAAAAGCACTATCAAACGATACAATCATATCACAATCAATTCACGTGATTATCATCACGTTCTATAGAATCTCGCATTGGAGAAACTGTCATTTAAAAACATTCAAGAATATTACATAGTTCCAAACTTACCAACATCTTTTTCACCAATAGTTACAAATGCGTCATTGAGAGCGTTAGAGTCATCTTCCGCGGAGTAGAGGAATGAAAGGCCTTCAGTTGCTGCAGCAACGGCGTCCACTTGGGTATCACCAGCTTCTGTGATAGAAATTGAGTGGATGGTAACGTTAGCAGCGAGGAGCTGAAACCAAAACGCAACGCAGTGCTGAATAATGACGTACTTGGTGTTGGGGAAAATATGGTCCCTTAAAATTAATCTAAGTTTTCTTTCAAATTATATGGGTCTGATAAAGCACTGATGAGACAAATAGGGTTGACATTGAACAAACACATATAGCTGAAGGAGAGTAATTTACACTGGGGCCAATTTCTTATACGGCCACAGTTACTTACTTAGGCCTAGATCAATTTTGCATACAGTCTTTGCGAATTCGGAAATATCGAGTACTATATCAATTCATTTTTAGGTGGTGACAAGATGTCTTTGATGTTTTGCACCAAAGAGCACAACATTCAATGTGTTCAAGTGTTAAATGCCTCTTTACGTTATAATAAAACATTGATCACAAAACAGTAAACGACAGCACAATCCACAAAATATTGAATCCGAACTCATCTGAAATTTCGAACTCAATAGAACTTGAAATAAACTCAAGGACTAATCAATTGAAAATGTTAACGATGTAAATAATTATCCGAAGATAACATACTGTTGGAGTTACTTCCGCAATGTTTGGACGTTGATTCTCTCCACCATCGGATACAACTACAAGTATCCCACCAGAGGGGTCGGTATTGTTTGCTGCAAGTACTTCAAGACCTTTCTGTAAACCTAAAGATAAAACAGATGTTTTAGAGTTAGCACACGACTATTGTAATGTAATGAATAAAAATATTACAGGAAAAGAAGATGGCGTGTGGTTTGTAATTAGTTTTCTAAATGAATGAGTTGATTATATTTCACTAACCCATGACGGTTTGTACAATCAGGCGTGTCCATGGCCTGCTTTGACAGACCAACTTAAAGGAAAGCCGACACTGTTTACTTACCACCTCCTATAGTAGTTCTTCCATTTGGAGTCGTAGGGAGACTATCTAATAGTTGCTGTCGGGTCGCATTGCTGACTATAACAAGACCTGATTTGACCCGGGCACTAGTCGAGAACCAAACTACGCCTAACTGCTCGCCATCTCTCACCACATTCGTTATGTAGTTGCTACACGCCTTGTTAAATAGATACACGGATGTCTAATGTTTGGATGAAAGTTAAAGGTTTTAGTCGTTAATATGTATATTTTAGCCTACGTCATGCGGATTTGTCTGGGCTTGCCTCATCATGTCCAGGCAAGTACCATTCTGTTTATATGTGTATTATATATAGCAACGGGAAAGTGAGATTACACTGGGGATGAGTGAACGGAAAATAAATCAAAGTCATATAGACCACAAGAGAAAAATAGCATGAGGAGGAAAGTGGAGCAGATTGAAAATATTAGCTTTGGAGGGCGAGGGTTGTAGGATGGATGATCTATACATGTTTTACAAAACTTATATAATTGATAGTTTTACCACGATTGTTCATGGTCATATAACGGGCCCAATATATAGCATAGGATGAGACATAATGGCCAATGAAACACTTCGTCCACTTGTCTTAGTTTCTTGAGAATCAAATTGCTTCCGAACAACAGTGTTATCTTGCTTATCTTGCCGATTTTGTCTATTTCACTTCAAACATGATCTTACTTGTCTCAGCTTTACTATGCGACTGTTCTGTCCCATACTACCGCTAACATCGAGTACTAAAACTGTTTTCTTTTCCTTCTGACGCACGACCCGGAACTCTGGTACTGTTGACGTCACGTTTCTTGGAGGGTTGAAATCTTTCTCAAAATCCCCATGCTCTCTTAATACCTAGAACATTTAAATTCATAATCTAATAAACCACCAGCTTCCTATGATTGCTGTTGTCAAATACTACATAATGTATTCGCACTAGCCAGCGACGATCGTTGCAGATGTTGACATGGTACAAATACTTAACATTAGTCTACATTGTACCAAGGGACAAATCCTTCAATCAATATAGATATATGGATAATTGATAAAAAACAGGCCTGAATGAAACAAAACGAAACAGCGCCTGTGTCGTTGACCTATTAAAAATAGGGGCACTGTCAATTTGCGATGACAATTTTTTGTAAACATTTATATTTTTACAATGGGATTCTTCCCAAAGTTGTTTACGTTCTTAGTGCCCACCCACTTTGTGCCACTCGAGAAACATATTATTGCTCTGTCTATCCTTCTTCAAAAACAATCCATGGCTTGTTTTTCTTGAGCTTATTCATTTTAAAATCCTATCCATTTAAAATGATTAATTATTGAATGCATTCCGTTACTTTGTATTATCTTTTATTCATTTGTGCCAATAACAAAACAATTCTGAATGCAAAAAGTCGGTTAAGAGGGCCTTGGTGCCAGGTTGACTAAACATGTCCGGTTACGACTTATAACTGAAATAAGTTTGCAACTTGATATACATTAATTGATTAATTACAAAAAAACATACAATTTCAAATAAAGGTACTCCACTAGTCGCCTTGGGGCAGATAGAAGTATAGTCAATGTTTTCATTCTATGATTGTTTCTACAATTCAAAAAGATCTCAAACTGCCTTTACACAAGTTGTATTCAGAACCCCAATTATTTCAGCTTACAAAGAGTCGATATTAGTTGTTTCATATGTATAAATATAGGGTGTCCCAAAAATAACTAACCTTTATATACAGCATCAGTCATGCTTCAAAAATTGCTCACATATATACCGTTGAATAGACAAGTTAACGGCAATAAAAATGAAATATCTCTCTGAATCAAAACAACTGAATGTTATATTATGCAAATCCTCTCTCTAAATATAAAATGATACAAGCAACACATGTTAATATTATAGACAGCTGGGATGTATTAATGTGTAAACATTTTGGGGACACTCGGTAAAAAGGTGGGGCAACACATAGGGCTTCACCGACACCGACATTTCACGATTTGAATCCAGACTAATTATCCTATTTTGCTTAGAAAATATGTAATAAGTCTAGCTGTGGGTATTAATCTATGGTAAATAGAAACCCATTATACTCGGAATTTGAGCCACTTCGGAACTTCATAAGTTCCAATCTTAATTGTTTGTCAATATAAATATTTAGATTGAAGTAGTATGATTCTAGTTCAAAGATTTTGTGTAAATAGTTCATATGTAAATTATTTTGAAAGATCAATGACTAAGAGACATAGCTTCCAATCTCTAGTATCAACATAATTACAGACAACATTTTAGATTAGGCGCGTTCACCTCTGTTTGAAATTGCACACACTTGTCATAACACAAAACGCAAGGACAAATGACAAAGAAAGAAATTAATAGAGAAAATGTTGAGGGACATAGTTAGTATTTTAGCTTAAACAGAATATTAAACTTGTCGAATCATTTCATTTAATCTTCTATTAAATGTGAGAAATTCGCTGGGCTATTGACACAAGTATCAACAGGAATAATGGAAAACTGCCCCTTTGCCGATATCGACCTTGAAAAATAGACACTTTGATTAAACAATTCTACACAGTAAAACCATTAACCCACATATAACCAAAAGCCGATAAGAAGCCAGTGTCATAGGAGATGGAAACAACATTAGAATCAAAACTGACCGATGGACGAGAAATACTGACATGGAACTTAAGGACATATTGGGATAGGAGGTAGTATTGGCGAGTCCCACCCTATACAGACGCAACAAGAGAAGGCAGTAAACTGCATGTAACATATATACAAAATTGAAACCTGGAGGTGGTCATGAATGAAATTTAAACACGATTTCAATTAAATCTTGCATGTGTTTATATATACCTTTTAAAATAAACAAAAGACAAAAGAAGCAAATAAAATAAATGCATATCGACCACAACATTTTTATTGGATATTCCTCCGGAGTAAATTGAATTTCATATCTTAGTATAAGGCCAAGCTTTTAAACATGTAGACAAATCACAAAATTGTGTTGACTTAATATTTAAGTTCTCTTCCGAATTAGATTAAATGTTCACGATCGAAAGTGTCAGCTGGTCTGTTCATACGAAATGATTAATACGTATTTAGCATCTTATTGACGACATATCTGAGTTTGTTAACAAGTGAACAGACAGCTGAAGGTAGGCCTTGACGTTGCTTCTTTTTGCCCGATAGTTTTGTAAATGTTAAAAGTTTAGATATTTGATTTTATGTGATAACTTGTCAGATCACACAATTTAATATCGTAAAATTCGCGTTATTTGATATAATATAAAACTTTCAGAAGTTCGGATTTGAAAAATAGAGAATGTCCAAGGGTGGTCCTTATGCACTATTTTATTGTAAACAGAAAGTAAGAAACAAATATAATATGTGGCACTGAAGGATAGAAATTGAAAATTTAACAAATCTGGTTAGAACTAATTTAGGAAAATGTATTCACGATATAAGAAACAGTTTCAAGATGCGCGTGATGGACTTTGTAAACCCGAAAAAATCAAAGGATTTAAAATAAATGAGTAAGTATATATATAATGGTATTATGATAACCAACATTTACAGCACTTCTTTGCAAATGTGCCCACGATCTATTTTTAACATGGCCTTGAAACTTGTTATTGTCTCATAAAGCTCTTACTACATGCTATGGTCAATGCTCTATGACCCAACCTTTAGAGCCACTAATATCAATGTTAGTAAATATATTTCAGTTGTGTTGAGTAAACTAGGAAAATTTACATAAACATGCGCACACAAAGCTATAATTCATTCTGTACATGAATTACATGGATTGTTGAGGAACACTTTCTCATTCAATACATACCGCTCCTTACTTATTGCATAACTGACTAAGACCCGTTATTCAGAAGGGTTTCTGGGTCTGTCATCCATAATCATATGCGCAAATTAGTATCCTAAATGTAGAAATATCATGGTAAACAAAAAACAATACATTTAGAGATGGTACTGTTTAGGTAATCAGCATTATACAAAAACATTTTGGAAAAAAAGTTGGAAAGTTTTTTTGAAAAAGAAGAACCAAAATGCATCAAACGCGTGCCATATATCGAGATTTTAATTTTCCTAGAAATGCACGTCTGATTTACGTCTGAACATGAGTAAATAAACATCTTAATTCCATTGTAAAGGTTCGACGGCCATAATAAAGCGTAGTTTTTGAATCAAATTGATAGGTGAATATGCGTAGTCTAGTCGATTCATCAATGTTGGAGTCTGAAATTAATTCTCATGTAAATTGTTTGTCAACGGAAAGTTACATACAAGGTAGACATAGACTATTAATTTTGTTTGTATTATGTAAGCTTTCACTTGATTTCTTGATTTTCGAATGTTAATCAATATTATTTCGATTTTTGAATAACTATCCGTACGTCATAATATTCAAGATTGTGAGACTAACACCTAGAGAAAACACGCCACGTGACCGGATCAATAACCAAGGCCTTCATCCAGATCATATGAGTACAACATGTTATATAATAACAGCACTATCTTAAAATTGAATGTCAAGTTTTAACAGAACAAATTGCCTTCAAGGTAGGTTAGTTACGTAAATGAACACAATTACAAGTGCAAATTGTGAACTAAAAAAGACCAATTATTTTGTCACCGCATATATTTTAACTCAATAACCTTACACACAAAAACGTAACTATGTTACACATATGCAACTTCTTAAAAAATTTGGATAATTTGAGGCAAGTTGAAAAAACACCTTTTAACATTTTTACCTTGAGAAGGTCATCGCAGGTCAAGTCTTCAATCTAAAAGAAGGTCATTAGAGGTCAAATCTTCAATCTAAAAATCAGATTTGAACTTCTGAGAACTTGTGGATGATTTAAAAAAACATTTGGACAATTTGAAGCAGGTTGGAGAAATCCACTTTTGACCATTTTGACCTTTGAAGGCCATAGAAGGTCAAATCTCAAATCTAAAGTCAGATTTGAACTTCTAAGAACCTGTAGATGATTTAGAAAAAAATCTGGTGAATTAGAAGCTAGTTGAAAAATGCCATTTTTGATACAAAAAGTTGGAGATGTAGACCATAACAATATGTCACCACTTTTGGTGGCGACATAACAAGTAGTTAAACACAAAAAACAAACATTTTAACAGTAAGTAAATAGGAGAATTACTTTATGATAGTTTTCCCTGGACGTGAGATTGAAACAGTTTCTAAAACTGATAAATTATTTTTCAGAAAGCCTTCCAGTATCAGAGAAAATACGCGAATAACAGATATCAGCGCTATGTCAGGATCCACAAATGTTAACAACGTATTGGACAAGGTTCCTGCCACTTGGAAGAGTAAAGCCAAAACCTTCTTTTTCCGGTTTGATACTGACGGGGATGGCCTTCACACTCGGCGAGACTATGAGGAAATCGTCAATAGATTAACTGGATATCTGAAGAAGAGTGGCAGCAATCCATCGGATGATCGTCTGCAAGGTCTCAAACACACGTTTATAGATGTCGTCTGGAGCGAATTTGTGGCGGGAAATCATGACACGGGAAGCAATCGAAAAGTAACACTCCAAGAATTCACTACCAATGTTGCGAAAAAGCTCGATGAGAGAGAATACGCCGAGGCGGTTTGTAAGGCAATATCGACGCATTATTTTGATATCATAGATATAAACAGCGATGGGTCGATATCGTTAAAAGAATATGGAGATTTTATGGAGTTGTTTGGAGTTGACCCAAAGCATGCCCCTGGGGCATTCGAATCTCTCGACGCGGATTGCAACAACGAAATAAGCCGTGAAGAGTTTTTTAATGCAATGCAAAACTTCTGGTTGAGTATGGATGACACGGGCTTCGGTGCATGTATGTTAGGACCTTTGATAAAGTGGTAAATGGCAATGTTTAACTCTCCACAACTCCTACTTGAAATATTAAATATTTTAGACCTACCAGTAGAAATATTTCACCAAAGACAGCATCCATCATACATTTTGCAACGATATTTTGTCAGTGAACCATCGAGAACTTTTATGGAAGGAAATCGTAATTATATATATAATGACTAGACGTTTGCTCATTACCGCTTTTGGGAACACAACTTTTGTATTCATCAGCAGATAAGGATACGAGCTAAAAGACCATGTGACCGCCTCTCTACTTGACTACACACCTCACACTTGTTGTAGTGGGGGGGGGGTCACAAGGGTTTGTAACTAGACTAGTAAGACATCTCGTCTTTTGATGTAGATCCCTTCATGTCATTCTTATATTTATACAATTGAAATGTAGCTTCTCGCGTGCCCCATTTTGAAACACCAGCCAGAACGAACAATTAATTCACATTGGATTTTATCCTGGTGTTTCTCTTGTAGAGGTTCAAAATATAGAAACGTCTTAGAGTCAGGTCTCACTGTCCTCATACCCACGACCCATTCAAAAATTACAATTATTCAGTATCTTTGGTATCTTGGGAGTTGTCCATGTCAAAGTGATTTATATATAATTAAATCATAAAATAAAAGGACATTAATGAAGATTATTCCATATGTTATATTGAATTATTTCATATACTGTCAATACAGTATATGACTTGCTGAGTGAATGTGGAACTTCCCAGCCATTTCAATTTCAATTCTTTCATGAGCTGGGTCAGCGATGCCCGATCTTGAAGGATGTTCCCAGCTTTTGATCAGTGAAATTGTACTTGGAAATATGGTACATTGACTAATCAAAGAATATAGAAGTGTTTGTATTATTAAATATTTTGGATACTGAACTCAACCTTGTTTATCGACCTTAGTAAGTGAAGTAGTCCCTTAAGACCCAAATATGGTACGTTGTTATTGAAGGAATTAAAAGGGATATAGAATAGGAAGTGTTGCAAGCAATCGTTCTAAAAATCACTTACAATCCTAATCTAATTGACTGAGAAAAGATTGGGGATATCTGATCAATTTCAAGGAACAACTAGGAATGCCTAAAATTATTAGAATTGAAAATGGGAACTCAGATTTTAATTCCTTGTCAATCGAAGGATTGACAAAATCAGAACTGTTGGACCTTTTAGAAAAAAGGAATGCCATGGTGCAAAAATGTAATGTAGTGACAAATTAATGTCGTGACAACTGTTTAGAAACACACTTAGCTCATCTTTATCCCTTCTACTCCCTTTAAGAGAGTCATGAAAAACACTTACCTCCCACACTGATCTACTATTGCACATCTGGTTCTGTTTGTTTGGGGCTTCTCGATTATGAAGTGTATTAGGGTCATTCGGATCATTATCACAAAAAGACGTAATCTACAAAACACAAGTGCAATTTAATTTCTAAAAGTAAAATATCAATTTGAAAGTATAATTATCTTGATTTTGAGCGTTCGTTGAAGTTATGTCCTTTATTCGATGGGCTTGACCAAGTCGGTCTGTCATAAATGCATTGAGAAATATTCTCAACTACCTCAATGTTCATATGCTTATTACTTTGACTTGTCACAAGAATGGACGTAGTTTACTACCAAGCCTTATCTACGTCACGACATGCGTTTACCGTCGAAGACAATAATCAGATTACCTGAGGGAGGAATTGCTTATACATTAGTGACCCGTAACCGTCTCTGTTTTGAAACCGATCATCCTGGTATCTACAGTTCCCGTCAGGTAACCCGCTTGCATAGCTACAGCCTTCACTTCCTGTCTGGATGTTCACCAGCTTACCTTGGGAATATTATAGGATATGTGTAAGGACAGTGATGTAAGGTTTTATCATCTACAATTTACCAACACTAGTAAGTAAATATATGTCAAACTTCTGGGGGGGGGGCTTCGTCGAACCTCTATTAAGGTGCCATGGAAGTTAACAGGAAATGACCAAACAGGAAGTGACAAAATCTTTTTGCATTTTTAGACATTTTTAAACAAAGATAACAGAGTTCTAGTTTGGCCTCTAGTCAATTTAACTATTTCTACATATCACTTACATGACCAGGATCACAATGTTCATGGTCAGAATGACCCCAAACATGATGAAATAACCTTTTTAGCCTTTGAAAGTGTGACTGAAAAAAGCTAAAAGTAGGAGCTATGGAAGGTCACTGAACAGAATCTTTTGAATTTTTCAGAAAATGTGCCCAATATAATGCTCTAACTGATACAATCTTTGAAATTTAAGAAAATTGTCTTAAACAAAAATGGCGGTCATAAAAAGGAAAATAGATCGCTTTTCAATCAGTTTTTTCATTTTTTTTTCTTTTTCTGTGAATGATATCAAATTTTCAAAGATTGTATCATTTAGAGCAATATATTGGGCACATTTTCTGAAAAATTCAAAAGATTCTGTTCAGTGACCTCTCCTACCTCCTTCTTTTAGCTATTTTCAGTCACATTTTCAGAGGGCTGAAAGGGTCATTTTATCATGTTTAGGGTCATTCTGACCATGAACATTGTGATCCTGGACCTGTAAATGGTATTTGGAACTAGTTGAATTGACTGGAGGTCAAAACAGAACTCTGTTATCTTTGTTCAAAAAATGTCTAAAAATGCAAAAAAAGTGTCACTTCCATAGCACCTTAACATGGCAATACATATTCACCCGATGACTAGGTACGGGCATACAATTCAACGGATGATTCTACATTTTTATGCCAATAAAATTGAAACTAAATCACACTGACAAATCAGAAATTCAATAATTTGTTAACACAATTTAATTACTTTGCAACAATTTTAGCCACTTCCGTTATTTTTAGCTGTGCAAGATCCAGAGATCGGTGTCTTTACTGGACGATATCTCGTCACGTGGGCCAAGCAAGAGAGGTACCTACCAGAGAATCCCAGTGAGCACCTGGTAGCTTCTATGTCACCAAACTGGGTTGTGTAGAATCTTGGTTCGTTCCCACCTCCTCCATATTCGTCATATACGCCATACCGCAAGTGACTCCACTCATGAACGATCACCTGAAAAATGAGTTAAAAGATGGCAGCTTATACCATTATGAAATGGCGTCTGTGGTGTTTGAAAGAACATTAGCAATGGCAAACCAAAGAATTGTTATTTATATGACTGAAGAAAGAAATGCGTCAGATTAATGCATATCTACAAATGATGTACATTCCGACTCTTTATAATTTGCACTTCTGGGACAAATACGAGAAATGCGCGCAGTGTCAAACCAATGTCCATGTGCGCCTACCTTTTCATATGCCCCATATAATATTCCGATATTTGGATCCATAAGAAAATCGGGTGTGAGATGCATGTAATGGCCTAGCTTGCCACATGGTGTTGTTTTGATGACGAAAGGTTTGTCACCCTGGTTGTATCTTGAATCAGGATTGTCGATCACTATATCACTTTTTTCAAAACTTTCTTTACTTATTGGTTGGTAGGAGGGGTCGTCTGACCATGTCTTTGGCACTAGAATTGTTATGTCCTTGAAATATGCTCTCTTTCTGAAAATAAAAAGGTACATATTCATTTGAATAAAAGAAACGTCGGGGATGTCAAGGTTCTTTGTTTTTCAGGTTAAAATGACCATTCACAAATTGTATAAACTACAGACATGACATATTCAAATCATTTCAATTGAGTCTCTTAGTGATCATATTTAAGTACCGCGTGACACAAAAATACCATCCACCCACATAATGTTGCATAACTTTTGGCACACCTTGTGCTGCTCATAAAAGTGTATTTAAGCTAGTCACCTGAAACTAAATGTGCTAAAGAACTATTTAGATGTCATGCCAACTGAATTATGCAACATTATATGGGTGGCATTTTTGTGTCACCCTGTATTTAATTTGAATCAAGTTATCAACCTAGAACAATTGCCAAGGTTTTGCAATATTTTTGGTCACGATAGTAAATATCAAGATAATATGACAATATGAATTGGACATTTTTGCATTTGAATACTCATTTAAGATTTCAAGTAACGCATGTACCCTCCATCCCATTTAATTCTTGGTTCAAGGGTATTTCAATTCTTTCCATAAGCTTAGAGCAGCCATATCTTGAAGGATGACTCCATCTTATCATTTAAATATTATTTTGCAGTGTAGGTTTCGTTAATGATATCAGACACTCATAACGAAATATTCTGAATATTATAGGTTAGACCAGCATGAGTGACTTCAATGAGCTTTGACCTCAACATCATTCTGTTGATGTTAAAATATTCTTGACCCTAGACCAGGATATACATTACACGTGGGTATGGTGGACACTCTTGAAAGTCAGATTTATTATATTTGAACACTAGTGCCACGAGCATTGTTATCTCCATATGTAAATAGTAAAGACACGAAGCATCAAGTAGCTCATGATCATATCATGAATTTGGTATTCTGTACAATAAATTAGACATATTTTGTCAAATTCCACATGATGAAACTTCGAGGAACAAATTCTAAACAACTAAAGTAACTAAACGTAAACAGAAGCACTGGCTTTTCGAAATATTATATCGTTTCGGCGAATGGCAATTAATTGTCCCTCATCAACTGCTGGAGACAGCCATTTTAAGCAAAAAACTCAAAACAAAAGTAAAAATCTCCACATATCGATGCTTAGAGTCATCCAGTGGTGCCATTTGTGAAAAATGTGTTACTATAGTGAAACCTTGTAGAGGAAGTGCCCAAGGAATTAATATAATTGTTGTAACAGTGAATACATATTAAGAAAGCAAAAGACTACTTAAACTTACTTGTTACTGAATCAAAGTTGGAAATTGGATGGGTATCGATATGGTGAATATTTTGAACACACGTTTCTTTTAAACCTGTCATCAAAAAATTCTGAAAGTTTTACATATTGTCAAGTTAATGGTAATATTTTGAATGGTAACAATATAATTTGAAATGAATATAATTATATACTTTTCTCTATATTGTTTTAAAAAACACACCAGACATTTCTTTTGTTCTTGGTATCATATGTTGAATGCAATGAAACATCTATCCGAACCTCATTGGAACAAAATGACATAAACACAATGTGTTTAGGTCTTTCAATATTGTAATTGTACAAAGGAATAATTTTTTGAATAGTTTTTGTTAAATCAACCAAAATTTCCTTTGTATAACTATAATATTGAGAGGTCCAAGAAAATGTTGTATGTATGCTATATTGTTCCAACAAGCTTCTGAAAGATATTTTATTTCATTCTCAAGAATTGGTAAAAAGGAACAAAAGACACATTGCACTAGAAAAAACAAAAAATGTTAACAAAACAATTACTAGTCATGATGACCTTCTAGACTAAGGGACGCGTTATACGACGTTGCACACCGCCGTGGTGCGACCTGGACGAACTGCGAATGAGATGGACGTATTAAAGACTGTTAATGAACGAAGTAGCTAATTATTTTAGACATATTTCCCGACCACAGCCAGATTGAGCTCGTTTTACGACGTTTCCGTAGGACTGGCAAGAATGGGTAAGAACTAGTTTGGTGTGAGAGGGGGGTTAATTTCTAAAGTATTAACGTTTGTGCTAAAGTGCATCTAGCTAGTTGAGCTAGTCATCTGAATTTTCTTGTGGAGTTGCTCCATAAAACCCTATTTTAGTGTGCCAAAGAACAATACAGATATCATGCAGAGTGAGACAAATAAGTTATGCAACATTATGTGGATGTTAGCTAAGGGGGAGAACATATTTATTTGACACCCTGTAGAATGATTGTAGCATATATGGCACATGCATGATATTCCCATAATTAAGAAGACCTTAATTGCAATCAATCGATGTGCACGTCGTCGAGCGTTACGATCTTTTAAGTAACAAAAATATATTATTGGTGGTCACGGGGGTCCAGTCGATGAATCAGTGGTTTAAATCAACCTGAACACTACTCAACAGGTCATTTGGAAAAATGATAGATATTGGAATTTAAGAGACCAATGTAAAACAATGAAAGAATATATATAGCTTATAGGGAAAAGAGGTGAAACAAGTTATTAAATATACAGTGCATGAGATTTTAAAGGGCTGGTAAACTGCCCCCCCCCCCGGACTACTCGGCCTCACCATAAGTTCCATTTTCCATTCTCCAATCAGAGGATTTATAGTCAATATAGTTTGCAAAGGTGGATATGAAATACAATTTCCAATACGATTACCTCTTAATCACATAATATGGTTATTTGATCCACAGGATCAAATCTTATACTAAGGACTGATGGGGAAAAAGTCACTCCACCTTGGTGGGAATCGAACTCACAACCCCCCCCCGATTACATGTTTGTATAACTTACCTTGTAACTTGATAAAGTAACGCAGACGCATCTGTAAAGACAGTTTTAATTCTTTCAATTAGCGCAGGATCCTCTTGTACACCGTCACCTATTGCAATTAGAGTCTGCCTATATTCATTGTCCTTCAGGAATATGGTCCCGCGCCCACAACTTTCCACTCCCAACAGTACTGTGCTAATAAGCACCATAAATGAACGGAATATCCAAGCTTTACTTATTTTTGTAAACATTTTTGTATATTTCTGATTTTCCTATTTTTTCACTTGAGATTTACTATATACAGTTGCACTACTGAACTACTGTGGTTTTGTTGAATTCTCTATTGTAGATGAGAATTTAAAATGTATAAAAGCTTATATTATATACATGTTATTATGTAAAATTAATCCTTCCGATTTAGCTGTGCCAATACCTTAATACATTTTATCCATACACTTAAATTCTGAAAAATGACCAGATCAAATTACATGGTAATCCAGGTACGATAATAAGTAAAATTGTTTATTTCTTGTTCAAAGTCTACCTTGATTCCAATTTTATCTCATATTTCAGCATGATAGTCTTAATTTGATCAACTACTTAAGATTTGTTGATTTTATATATGGAGTAAACAAAATTGATTATAAATCGACTTCAGGTTATTTTCCACTGATAAAGGTCCCATTCATCGTGTCTCCATGAAGTACGTCACCAAGCATTGGAATGTTCAGTTAAGTAATCGCAAAGTGGATTTCGAAGATGAACAAACGAGAAAGATAATCGTTCGTCAATTTCACTAGAAATGTCTTTAAGTTATCTTAATTTAAGAAAGTGCCCATGAGTTCATGATATCGTCTGTCTGTACTTGGCTAACCTGTTGGCTCGCGCCCGTTGTGCAGGTTAATACTATGTACTTGTTTTTAACTAAGACAATTATGAAAATAAGAAGATTTCCGATTTATTGACCACCTATAGCTGCACGTGTATTATCTGGTTGAGTGAATCAATGTGACAAGAACATTTTTTATTTTTAAGTGCAGAAAATATAGGGAATTATTGGACACGTTCAGCATCGGCGCTAGTTTTATATGATCGCAACTAAATTATTCCTAAAAAATTCAAATGTCCTCTTTTGCCCCAGTCTTTCTTTATGTATGACTATTTTGGCTTATATTGGTCATATCATTTTGTGTACACACTTGAAAGTGAGCGGTATAGTGTAGACAAATAAACACCGGCGAGTGGTATATATTGGATCTTTTTCACAATGATATATACAGGGCGTATTAATAAACGCAACAGACAATTAAATCGTAAAACAACAAAACCAGTGATGACTGCATTGATTTCATTCAATGTTCCATGAAGGCACATTTCTCCACTTTTCAATGACGTGTCCTTTATTTCCATGGAGTCATGGTTGGCTGCAAAATCAGTGTTTTTGCACAGTGGGCATGATAAATCACGTTGGGACCGAGTTTTAGATATTGGAAAAGTCGGTACTCACGGGCCCCCGGCTTACTCCCCATATCACACCAAACTAGTTCTTACTCGTTCTTGCCAGTCCTACGAAAACGTCGTAAAACGGGCTCAATCTGGATGTGGTCGGGAAATATGTCAAAATAATTAGCTACTTCGTTCATAAACAGTCTTCAATACATCCATCTCATTCGCAGTTCGTTCAGGTCGCACCATGTCGGTGTGCAACGTCGTATAACGCGTCCCTTAGTCTAGAAGGTCATCATGACCTGATTACAGAACGGTATGGTCGCCGATTCAAAATTCTAAAATCACCTTCCCGGCCCGTCTGAGAAAGTTCATGAAGTTCGTAAATAGACCTTAGAAAGTTGCAGCTAAGTTCATTCCGTTCACACACAGTTTAAACCAGTTTTGAAGAACGCAGTGGCAACTTGTTTGGTGCGGTAGCTATATTTTTGCTAACTCGTTCATAAGCAGTGTTTAATACGTTCTTAGTCAGTTTAAACACGGGGGTAAAGCAGACCCGTTGATGCAATGAGCTTGCTCGGCGGTATCATGACTGTGTAACGGGTCTTAATGTATAAGTGTACTCGGCGGTAGGTTCAAACAACGCGGATCCTCAAAGCATGTGCTCATGGTATATTCGTGTTTTAACACCCGTGTTAAACCCGCTTGCAATTAGTTCTACCTCGTTCTCAATACGTCCTCAGACACTTCAACTTGTTGTAAAAACGTCCCTTGTAGGATTTAAGTACGACGGTTCCGTTCGTAGTACGTCCAGCTCGTCGGTAGTACGTTATCACTCGTTCTAATTGTAGAACGTGACGACCACAAGAACATTTTGAGTATGTTCTAGAGGACCTACCCGTTCAAATACGTTCGATGAAGTTTGTAAACAGACCCCAAACGGTTCTAAGTACGTCCAGTCCGTTCGTTCACAGTTGAAGCCCGTTTTCGAGAACGTAGTGAGAACTAGTTTGGTGTGATAGTAGGGTAACCCTAGTTAGTAGTTCTCACTACGTTCTCGAAAACGGGCTCCAACTGTGTACGGACGGTTTGGGCGTTCTTAGAACCGTTTGGGGTCTATTTACAAACTTCATCGAACGAACTCGAACGGGTAAGTCCTCTAGAACTTAGAACATGCTCAAAATGTTTTCGTGGTCGTCACGTTCTACAATTAGAACGAGTGACAGCGTACAGACGACGAGCTGGACGTACTACGAACGGAACCGTCGTACTTCAATCATTTAGAATTTTGAATCATTTCGAAGTTCGATGGCAACCATACCGTTTTATGATTAGATCGTGTGACAGCGTACTTCAAACGAGATGACCTCTTAGACTAACTAGGAATGTAATTGCCGTTTTTAGACCCTACTAGGGATGCGTAAACGACGTTGTGCATTCGGATATCAATTGCAGTACGTGTGCACACCGACATAGTGCGATCTGAACAAACTGAGAGTGAGATGGACGTATTAAAGATTCTTTATGAACGAAGTAGCTAATTATTTCAGACATATTTCCCGACCACAGCCAGATTTAGCCCGTTTTACATTTTCACATGACTGGAAAGAACGGTTGAGAACTGAGTTTGGTGTGACAGGGGTGGGGGGGGGGGCTTGCGGTCGTAACTTTGACAATATGTTCTGTCGCATATTGTAGCGATTCACAGAAATAATTGGCAAAGATGTGCATTGTATAAACATGACAAAGAAAATCAATATTCATTCAAATCAATCATCATTCAGAAAAACGGTGGAAGAATCTATTCTACTTCGATGGTTATATCCGCCATTTTGAACAATGGTCACTGTTGGCATACTATCCCAAGACTGCCCTGTACTTATTTGTCTGATATTGTTATGAAATTAAGATAGCATAAACTTCAAAAAAATGTACGATTTCAGACCTCACATCATACTCAAAGGCCCACTTCGCCTATTTTCAATGTTTTGGGCAAAATAAAGACTTTTATTTGAATTCTATAAAATGTCCAATGTATTGATAAGAACACTATCTTTAATTTGACACCAACACCAGCTCAATCGGGTCACATCAAAGCTTACAATGATTGATCAAAAAATATTTTCGATCTGTCAAGCTTTATATATCAAGTTTTTATCAATGTCATTAAAAGATGGCAAACTTGTTTGTAGAAGTGTTGTTTATAGAAGTGTCGCCATCTTTTGAATCAAAAGTAATTAAAAACATGCACTTTGTTTAGCATGTGCATGCATATCTAATGATCTCTGAACTTCAAAAGGTTTTTTCTTTGTGAGTTATTTTTTTCTTGGTTCAATATTAAAACAAATCAAACTTTGTTTCATATTTGAGCGAGTGTGTGAGTAATATGTTTCAATGATAAGTTTTTTCTTTTTTCTTCTAAATTAAGTATAGTGGGCCTTTAACGAGGATCGTTATTCAGTCACCCAGTCCCTGGGATTCTTTCAGCCAGTGACATATACCTGAATTATATGTCTCTGTTTTAGCGAAGGGCCCAGTCCTCAAATTTCGATGTTTGTTTTGTTTTGTCGATATATCTTGGCCTAATTGCGCCCATGTCACAAAATCATGAACTTGTTTCTTGACTCAACCAATGGCCAGAGTAAGAAACTGAAAAAAGTTAACCTTTTTTCATCAATTTTGAATCGATATGCGTGGTCCATTGTGAAGTATCTAATATTATCAGCTCCAACATGACATTTCCCCGGGGTCATTTCATTAATAAACATAAACATGATATTGTCGATTAATACCTCCTGACACTTATATTACAAGTCGCCCATTATTAAATCATTGCGCCACATGGCCAGTTGGTCCATTTCTTTTGATGCCAATATTTGATAGGTACTGATCATGACACTTGGCCACCAAGATTATTGCGCCACGTGACCAGTTGGTCCTTTTTTCTTGCTGCCAACATTTCCTGAACTTGTTTCCTATCATATTCCACGTATTCATAAAATGTATGTCCGTCATTAATTAAATTGGCCATATCTGCGCTTAGGAAAATTCGATTTATCTCTCCGCTTTACAGTATGTGTGTATATTGATGGATCCAATCGCTTTCTCTCTCCAAAACATCAAAAATAATGTCAAGGTGGATGAAGGAACGGGTTTTGACTTAACCTCATTGGTACCAGACCACATTGTGTTACAGGAATTTCTTCAAATAAGTAGTAAAGATCCAAAATGCGATCAGAATTCAGAGATGTGTGGTCACTCAGGTCACTCTAGGGGTTCAATTTAATCTACGCATCACCAACTTCTTGTGGAAAATGGTCATCGGGAGAAACATACATCGTAACATTTTCAGTATTTGTCGTTACTGTTGTATTTGGTGAAGAAAATCCATTCGTGTTATATCTACCCGATCCGTTCATGCTTTTAAATGAAAGTACAAGTCTTCGCGACTTTCTCCGACATTCAAATGTGTTTGCCAAAGTCTGACGAAATTTTTTGCCAAAAAGACAATAGACGAAAAAGTTGACAGACGAGTTGAGTATGGCGAGCATGTCACTTGTGCGGGTATAGTAATAGTGGACCTCGCCGCATCTAGGAGGGTCGCGAAACAGCCACAGGAACTGGTTGACAAAGCAAGGTGTCTGGCAAACTATAAAGACTATAACGACAACGATTAGGATGAGTGTGACGTCATGTTGATGCCCCGCCACCTGTTCATTGCGTCGCATGCTTCGGGAACATGTGGAGATTCTAACTCGTTCTTTTGCAGCTTTCTTAAGTTCGATTATTAGTTTCGTATTAAGAATAGCCAGGGTTAACAAAGGCACTGTGTACATTACCAAGATATAGGATATCGTCCTGTATGCGATGTTATACGTTTTGTCGTACCCCAGTATTAATGGCATCGTCTTGTTATTGCTCTCATAGCCAATGACATAAAAATCAAAGAATCGCGGGACATTATACAGAATGGAGAACAGTACAACAGCCGTTATCTGGAGGCGGACTCTGAAGTGCGTCTCCCATCTCATTGATGTAAGCGGCCTACAAAGGGCGATGTAACGATTTATAGTTACCACTACGGTTAAGCCCACTGAAGCAATATGTGGCATCTGAAGTAGGGGAGCGATATATCTCTCCAAAATGTACATAATCCTTTTCCAAGTTTCCACATTTCCGGTGTAAAGATAGGCCTGTGGAATGGTAAACGCTAATAAGGACAGAATAAGCAATGAATTGTCCGACACCGCCAATGATTGGAGCAGCAAAGACGTCGTAGATTTATTCCTCTCCTTCTCCAGAACGATTATTGATAGGGTATTCCCTGTTAGTCCGATCACTGAGATAATCCCGATTAATATAGTATAGATAATCAAATCAAAGTCGTTACAGGGGTCATAATTAGAAGTTCTAGACTCATCACCTGTTGTATTAATAGGACTTTCAGTCATGTTAATGTTCAAGATTGACGTGCTTTCCGTAACAGTTCCGTTTTGCTGGTACGATTCCATTATATCTTTTCATTACTTTATTTCTCCAAACGTTTTTAATTTGTGGTTTATTTTCCAAACTGGTTCGTTGGATAATTAACGTTTTCAATCCAGTTCTTATCCTGTTCTGAACAGTAAAATTGTCATCTTTTTAATTCATTTGAATCACGTCACGGTGCAGCTAATGAATAATGTTTGGTAGTCTTAACCAAGAAAAGTACGATTTATTTTGATTCTTCAGGCGGAATGTTCAAATAATTAAGTCTAACTGCTCTGTTTCGAGAATTCACAATTGTGAGGCTTTGTTCAAATCCACTGCGTATCGTTGAAGGTCACGTTGATGAGAATTCACAATTTCTTTCATTGTTTTTGTTCTCCATGATCCAACCGTCTTAAAACAGACACGATTGTTTCGAAGTCATAATATTCGAAGTAGCGATACACTTACTTGATATTGAGAAGAAATTTCGTGTGGCTAGCATTTAAATACTTTCACATCTCGTGTATGATAACTGTTATTGAAAGGTATCTTCTTTCATCTATGCAAACATCAAGTAGCGAAGTAGTAATTATTCTGCCGTCCCTTTCATGTGAACAACGTCATTATCATCAGTATTTCCAAGGCTCAACCTCAAACCATTTGTCTTGTTCACTTTATCTCCGTCTGACTCTGGGTGTTCAATACAATCTATTCTCAATCTGCAATAACAAAACCATTTAGCGTTCTTAATTACTTAGTTTTGTAGAATCGATCCCCGTATAGAAATAACTTGTTGATTCCGCTGAAGCGCTACAAACTACTAATTCCTACCCAATGAATTCCTATAGTATATCTGACCGATCATGGTTATTCAATGGTTCGAGTAAATCTTTTTCACAGACATTCGGTAATGTTTTAAGGTGATTACTAAGGAACACTTCAAAGCGTTCGTATTATAAGCAAAATAAGATTCAAAATCTTTATCGTATATATATAAATATATGTTCCGAGACTTGAGAATTAATATGCATTGTCATTCAAATTGGAAACTTCTGATTGGGTTGGAGACGAATTAGAGACGAGGTTTCGCGAGTTGCCCGGATGTGACCGAGCAAAAACCTGAATTCACGAGTCTTTTCCCGAAGAATCTCGATATAGAAACTGCCAGTAATTTTATAACTCCGCCTTTTTGGCCATTTGAGAAGTGTCATTTCCTGGATTGTTAAGTAACTCCGCCCATTTATGAAGAATGCCACTCCGAGTTACTGTTTCGTGTTGAAGTGAGGAAGTCCTCGTTTACATTGAAAAATAAAATAGATGGGTTAAATAACCGTAAAGCAGGCATAAAATAGTTCCGAAAATGTATTTACATATTTCTTTGATTCTTGGATCCAGTGGTAGCTCTTTTTAAACATGCACTGTAGAATTTATACATTTTTCTACACAAAGAGTTAACAATTGCGTCAAAAAAAATTATCATCGTCAATAATTGTTTGTTTTTAGAATGGCGGGAAATTCAACTATTTAAAGACTAATATTAATTTCTAAATAAATATTATGACAATCAAAAATAATTAATCAAAAGTTCCGATTTCAGTTCGCAAAGAAAGATTTTATTTCAATATAATTCTGTCATGATAAAATGACTCGAACCAACAAGTCCTTAATCCCGTTAACGCTTAATAAATTGCAATGCTCTATAAATGCATAAAATTTAATACAAACTTGTTCCAAATATAGCATTGGAACTTGATCAAAGATATTTATTAATTGCCATTCCCTAATTAAACACATAAAGTGGTTTATGGTCGTATGAAATCAGAAACATTCAATTACGGAATACATAGTCCGTTCTGCAAGATTAGGATCGACTCATTCCTAGACTGAATTCTGGAATAACCTTGTCTTCAGCATAGGCTGTATTGTCCAACATATCATTATTTTTCTCATTTTGGAATGCAAATCTGCAACTAATATTACAAAATACATTTCTTGTTGCACCAGGCCAAACATACTTAAGTTTGAGAAATTAACGAAATCTAGCAAATTAAACTCTGCAAATTCCTGGTCTAGGCTGGCCAAAGATTTCAATAACTAATATATATTTTAATGTTTGTTCACTAAGATTTTAATTGAGATTTACAATACTCTTTTTATACTCTCCTGATACCACATAAGGGGTGAGGCAAATAGGCGTTCCGAGAAAAAAATGAATGTATAATATTGATCAGATGACCTGAATGAAGTATGGGTTATCTTGTTGGTCGTTATTTTATAGAGGATTAAAATGGACTTCATGTTACACGCTCTCTGTATCTACTTTTATTGATTCAACAAAAAAAGAAAATATCAATTATGATTTCAAATCCGTGATAATAATTTTGGAAATGTGCATCGTGTCGACCAAGTAAATAAATTCTAGTACTTACTAAGCTTACACGAAGTCGACGATCAATTTTCCCGATCCCGAAGACTCAATCGAAAAACCCCGACATGCAGATGACATTTTGACAGAAATTATTTTCTGAATTCATCACGAGGCTATCACTTCAGTCATGAATGAGTCTAATTTTGCAGCCAAATAACACGATTCAATATTCGATACATTTATTAATTAGTTACTTTACACGAAACTATATGTGGAAGTCGTGAAATTCTCTGAAAGAATATTGGCTGCGATTAATTAGATCTTCTATCAATCTCGTGTGTTCGATATTTCAGCGAATCTTATGAAAAATGATCCATTTCATTGTTAGCTAGGCTTGTGATGATACGTGGACCGATTCCTCATCCTATTTATCTTTCGTTCTTATCGTTTGCGTCTGTTTCACACAAAATGCATTAATTTGATGTGTATAGTCGTATACATTCACTGGACTTTCCGTAACCACTTGCAGATTTGTATCACATCATACTAAGGTTTCCATATCATTCGTTGTATCATAAACATCATTTCATTTCAATTATTAGTAGAAAATATCAATTTAAGTGGTTGGACTATTCATAAACAGTGTTTCCAGATTTGTTCTATGCTAAGGGTAATCATTTGATGAAAATACAATTTCATTTAATGTGAAATATGACAATTTTTTCTGTCATGCGGAAAATTAATTTATTCATGCATTGACACTAATGGAAGAAGATGATATGTTGTTGACCAAGACAAATTACAAAGACCATGAATTCAATCAACATACTCAGAAGCTAATCAACCAATCAATTCAACTAATTAACCAAACAAACAATCAATCAATCAATGTTTACCCCCAGGCCCTATCGCACCAAACTAGTTCTCAACCGTTCTTTCCAGTCCAACAAAAATGTCGTAAAGCGGGCTAAATCAGGCTGTGACCGGGTAATATGGCTAGAATGATTCTAGATACTTCGTTCATAAACACTCTTCAATACGTCCATCTCATTCGCAGTTCGTTCATTATGTCAGTGTTCACACTTAGGTGCAATTGATATCCGATTGCAAAACGTCGTTAACGCGTCCCTTGTAGGGTCGAAGTACGGCAATCGCGTTCCTAGTCTAGTATGCCATGTCGTTTGAAGTACGTTGTCACACGATATAATCACAGAATGGAATGGTCGGCATTGAACTCAAAATTCTATTTTTCTATGGTCATCTCGTTTGAAGTACGTTGTCACGATCTAATTACAGAACGGTATGATCGCCATCGAATTCTAAATCACCTTCCCGTCCGAACATGCACGTCCAAGAAGTTCGTAAATAGACCGTAGAAAATTGCAGCTACGTTCATTCCATTCGCACACGTTTTAACAACGAGTTGAACTGTCTGGGGACGTATTGAGAACGAGGTAGAACTAATTGCAATCGGGTTTAAACTGATTAAGAACGTATTTAAGACTGCTTATGAACGAGTTAGCAAAAATATAGCTATCACACCAAACAAGTTGCCACTGCGTTCTTCAAAACTAGTTTTAAACTGTGTGCGAACGTAGCTGCAACTTTCTAAGGTCTATTTACGAACTTCATGAACGTTCTCAGACGGGAAGGTGATTTTAGAATTTTGAATCGATTCAAAATTCGATGGCGACCATACCGTTCTGTAATCAGGTCATGATGACCTTCTAGACCAAGGGACGCGTTATACGACGTTGCACACCGACCTGGTGCGACCTGAACGAACTGCGAATGAGATGGACGTATTGAAGACTGTTTATGAACGAAGTAGCTAATTATTTTAGACATATTTCCCGACCACAGCCAGATTGAGCCCGTTTTACGACGTTTTCGTAGGACTGGCAAGAACGGGTAAGAACTAGTTTGGTGTGATAGGGTGGTAACCTATCGATACCCTGCGCGCAGAGTCTAGTTATTGGAGAGGTTAAGCTAACGATGTTTTTCACAACGTAACCGTGAACGCAAAGTACAAAAATTAACAAAGGAATGTATCGAGCGCTCATAGTTTTATGCGCGCTTAGTCTACTTCAGATACTCTTTCAGCTTCAGAGTTTCGGGTTTATAACGGGAGATTTGAATATTTGACGTTGGGTCAACGGGAACCATTTTACTCGTGTATATTGAACACTATGCTGTCAATTTTGATTTCGATGCACAGTTGAATTCTTGCTGAACACGATGATGTATGTCATGCATGATTTAGCGCCAAAAATCTTACGAAACGAGCTCGTTTAAAATATGTATTAGAAAACCAGCTATAAAACCGCATCAATGACATACTATAGAATCATTACACGCTATGGTGTATAGTCTAAACAAACACTGGATTTGAACGGCTATTTATATGAGAAGGCTACATGAATTTGTATATGGTCGAGTGATACGTACAGGTTCAGTTTCGATTATATATGCAAAGCTTAACCTCTCCAATAACTAGAGACGAACGAAGCTCTCTTTTAAGAAGCGAAGTTGAACAAATTCAAAGGGTATCCTATCGAGCAGTCAAGAACCCGTATTCTACAAAGTGATACACTGAGGTATGCTTAACAGGATTCTGTTCATAAATAGCAAACGAAAAAAGCAAAAGTGAGAACAAACAAATACAAAAGCGGTTGGAAACTTGATGCAAGCAAGGACGTCTATCTCCTTGATGCAAGGCCGGAATACAAAGGCGGCCTTGGAAGTTCAGGTATCTCAACCCTATCATCATAGACTTTAACAAACGCTGTTGTAATTATTATTTCCTTTTTCATATTTATTATCTTGTTATCTCATATTTGTTATTTTATCAGACTCTTTGAAGAATTCTGAAATTATGAGTTTCAACAGTTTATGTTACCTTCACGTCATTGATGTACCAAGGACAATACAATACCCTGCAATTTAGTCATCATGAATTATTTGAATTCCTCCCCATCTTTCGTGACCTTGCGAATCTCGATATCTAATATGATATGTTTATTGAAATACATGTAGCTAATTTGAACATTCAAATATAAGTAATTAATATAAGTATACTTGTTCTAGGTTGCTCTTTCAAGTGGGACAAACTACACAAGTATTCACTTACCGATTTTCTGTCTACTTCGTAAGTATGGTATAGTTATCACATAATCACTGGTGATCCGCTCGATTACGCTGGTTAACGAAACGGTTCGTTTTTGTAACAAAAACGTTTTTTCTCACAAAGTGTATCAGCATCATATGTTTTAGAAAATGTACATGTTTGCGAAAAATAGCTCAGAAGACAACAGAATCGTCGATTTAATCCCTCATTTAGGTTACATAAACGGTTTGGGTTAAAAGTGCAGATCTTAACTGTTTTTCGAAAAACCGTTTATGTAACTTAAGTGAGGAATTAAATCGACGAT